TTTCCGAGCTCTGACATATTCATACGTTGTCGGTAGAGCTTTGGTTCTGACATTCCGTCGTAGATCGTTGCTGGCGTTGATTGGTAGAGATGATACCTGCGCTCCTCGAAAGCCAAATATGGCAAGATTTGGGGTAGATAGCCTAAGGTGGCGCCATTGCGGGGGGCTACAGTGGTAAACCCTGTGAGGACTCGGCGGCTGGAACCAGGACTGGAAGGATATCGTGCGGCCAGACGCCAGGAGACGAGGTAAAGCGTGGAGACCGCAGGAAGGCATCGTGGCTAGTTTTGTAGCCAAGCAGTGCGAATGTAACAAAGACGTCATATTTTGGAAGAGGGGACTTGCAATGACTAGTCGGGTGACGAAGATTCTGGTACTGGGCTTGTGTCTAAAAAAGAGAGGTTTAAAATTGAAAAGAGATCTACCTGGAGATTTTACCGAGCTCTTATGCAAGGGCAGCATTTCTGAGACATAACTAAATCATGCAGCCTCGAACCAGGGAAGTATCCATGCGAGCGAAAATAACCACAGATTGTATATCGTAAACGGGCGAAATCCGTGAGATACAAAATACGAGACGCAGGAAGATTAACACCTATCGAGTCGGCCTCTCAACCCTCTCTTGCTTTTTTCTCCTTGAGGATGCTTTTCATACTCCGCTTGTTCACTGTCGGAACCGTTCCTAGTTGCGCATAAGGTTTGATGTAATTCCAGAACCATCACTAGATGCTCCTTTCCTCTGAGGTAGCTGTGGACTCGTATGATGTCTCGTTCTTATTACAATAGGCATAGTCGCTTGGCTTGGACCAGCTGAGCCATTTCGCGAGAAGCCCTCTTGGCTAAGGCCGAGTTGTCCGTTTCCGACTCATGGGGTATCCGTAACCGTGCCAGATGGACTCAGGTGCGAGAATTGTTCTGGCATTCTGCTGGTGACATGTCACTTCCAATCTCAAGCTCTTTGGCCGGCTGATACTGAATTTTGTCTGCCAAGAGCGATAACATGGTTATGATAAGGCCCGATTCATGTTCCAGAATTTTCCTATTCTCGTCTGCCACGCCCTGATCTTTCTGACCAACGCCATCTCACGCTGTTTCAGGGGCTGCCACTCTTGAACTCCTAGCTCCTCCGACCTCTCCGCAAGCTTAATTCTTGTAGAGCCTAAGTCCTAGGCGGAAGCGTTCGAGTGATGACACTTGTTGGCTGAAGTGCCTCGCCGGGATCCCTGGCATTTTCTCCCAACCAGTAGTGCTCGCATGTCCTGAACAGCGAACACTTCGAGCTATTTGAGTATTCAAGATCCCAGAGGAACAGTGAAAAGACCATCCAGCACCTTTTTTCGTTACCATGCGGTGCCTTTTCCTTCCCTGGGCCCAATACCATGGTTCATAAGAAGCTTGGTACCGCAAAGTACAGAAACCTAGACGAAGCCTTGACTACAATCAGATCTACCTCGTTGTCCACTACCTGCCGTCAAAGTTCCTTCACGCATTCACGGATAGTTCACGACCCCTAACGCTCTCCTCCTCCAATTAAGATGTCGACGACAGCTTCCGACGCGTAGGCCGAATTTGAACGAATCGGCCGCGACGTAATTTTCCCCCTTCGTCGGCCTCGGAACTGGAAGCGCATGTTCATGCGCTTCTCTAAGCAAAACCGGAAAAGACTATTGCAGGATCTGGCAGTAGTTGCAAGGAAACCGTATGAGAAATCCGTGGTTAAAGTGAGTCATTCGCCAGGACGATTATGATCCTCACTCTCTACCGCCATACCCGTTACCAGCGACAGCGAGGGGAGACAGCTCTTAGATGGAGGACAGTGGCCATACAGATATAAGGCACATAGAGAGAGGAGCCAATTTGAGAGAGCGTTTTAGGTAAGTAGGTGGATCTGGACGTGCTTATGAACGAGACTGATGGAACTACAGTGCAACCCTAGACTTGGAAGCTGGCACGATAAGCTGCGAGGATGTGGAGACGTTGATGGGTAATGGAAAAAATAGCACTCTCGAGATAGGGTAAATGCTTCTTCGGGTTCATAGCGATTGGGAGGGGTGGATGCACGGACAAATGCATCTATTGTGGGGGGCAAAGAGGATACAATAATAACGAGATATAGGAGAGAAGTCAGGAGAGAAGTCAGGAGAAACGGAGACAAAAAAACAATTACCTCTTCTCGCCAGTAAGGAACTCATGAAATGTAGAACCTTTCACAGAAGGCTGGCAAGTAGGTTGCGTCCGATACAAAAGTCTTGAGCGTCATGTGCCTATCAAATTGTGTCAAATTGTGTCGTAGAATCTAGGTGTCCTTGCCGCCATCTTCACAAACCTTTCGACTCAACGCCCTTGTCATCCTTCTCTTCAAACAACCTCGCATACTCAGTGCGCTTCAAAGACTTTACAGAAACGCCGCCTCCGTGCCGTCTTCCAGCCATGTCGGGCCTCAGTTTAGCTAATCCCCAGATGTACGTTCTGGTTGCCTCGTCCTTGCGCAATGATCGCACGAGCTGTAGCTGCGATCTTGCCTGCACCGTGCTGACCCCAATCTCTCTTTAGCACTAATCTGCTCATCATACTCGGTATGATGCAGGTATCTAAGAAGATACCCTTCGAAGACCCTCAAGTCCTTATGGGCGTCCGCGTCCTATACGTCGTCTCCAATCTTATCATCTTGGGCATCTACTTCTACATGCAGATGAAGATCAACAAGAAGAAGGGTTAGTCTGGTTTCCTTTGTGCGGCATGTGGAGTGCCCGCTGACATGCTGTGTTGCAAGACCTCACTACCCTCAAATACGTCGAACCACCACCAATGGGCTCAGCCGAAGAGCCCAAGCTCATCACTACGACTGTCCACTCGTACGACTTACAGCAGCTTAAGGGGATGTACAAATCGCAGTTGATGGGGGTAGGAATGATGGGCGTCATGCATCTGTACATGAAGTACACGAACCCGCTGCTGATCCAGTCGATCATCCCGCTCAAGGGCGCATTTGAAGGGAATTTGATGAAAATACATCTGTTTGGGCAACCGGCTGCCGGGGACTTGAAGAGACCGTGGAAGAGCGCAGGTGGCATGATGGGTATGGGTGGTGGAGGGGACCCCAAGGCGGATAAGAAAAGTATTGAGCAGGCGGAGAGAGCTGGAAGTGGGGGTGTCAAGGAAGAGTAGGCTCGGACATTCTTGGGAGACGTTACTTTGCGGACATCACATTTCCGTACTTGCTGTGTAAGACAAAACCGACCATAGAAAACTCGTTAGTTCACTGCTCGCAACCAAATGCGGAAGCTCTGAAACATGGAGATACAGATTGTTGAATAGATCAATATCATACTTTTGTAGGCTGCCCTCCCCACGTAACGCCACTATGCATTCTTTCACTTTCGTTCAACACCTCAATTCTCAAAACTCACATCTTCGAACTGTACCGAAGTCTACGACAGCAGTACACCATACCATGCCATCTGAGGCATCTTCTATCAACCTCGCGCCAGAATGACCGAACGACCTTCAACGCCCCCTCCGCAAACGACGCCCTCCAACCCCGGCGTCCTCCCAAGAGCGCCCCTCACACCAGAGCAAGTCAAGAATATAGTATGCCCCATACTTTCGCCATCTATTCTACCCAGCCTGCTGACCGGCCAACTCAGGAAATCAACCGCTTGAAAGCCAAAGCCCTCCGCACCCAACGCGAATCCGAAGCCCGCAACAACAGCGACGCCCCCACCTCCCTCAAACGCTCCTCCAGCAACCTCACCTCCAGCAACCTCGCCGCCGGCCAAAAACGCCCCTACTCCTCCACCACAGCCGGCGTCACTTCCACGCTACGAGATGCTCGAAGTACCACACCGGCCGCGAAGCCCGGCGGCTTTCGCCCCCTGGACGACATCCAGCCGGCGAGGAACTTTACAAAGTTCGTCGAGTATGACTTCAGTAAGATGACGGATACGAAAGGGGGCTTCTTGACGGTGGAAGATGACCCGCACAACAAAGCGTTGCACGCGCTGAAAGCGGGTGAGAAGCCGGCGCACATGACGATGAAGGAGTGGGAGCGCCACCAACTTCTGCGGTCGCTCCGGGAGCAGAAAGCCGGGCCGTTCGAGCCGGGCTTGAGCGTGCTGTCGAAGGGGGCGCGGGAGGGGAGCGACAAAAAATGCAGGGAGTGCGGGAGCCTGGAGATCGATTGGAAGTGGGAAGAGGTGCTGCACTGCGCCGTGTGCAACGCGTGCAAGGAGAAGTTTCCGGAGAAATACAGCTTGCTGACGAAGACGGAGGCGAGGGAGGATTATCTGTTGACGGATCCGGAACTGAAGGATGAGGAGTTGCTGCCTCATCTCGAGCGTCCGAATCCGCATAAGAGTACGTGGAATAATATGATGCTCTATCTGCGCTATCAGGTTGAGGAGTACGCTTTCAGCGATAGGAAGTGGGGTGGTGGGGACAAGTTGGATGAAGAGTTTGAGAAGAGGGAGGGGGAGAAGAAGAGGAGGAAGGAGGGGAAGTTCAGGGCCAAGTTGCAGGAGTTGAAGAAGAAGACGAGGGTGGAGGCTTATAGGCGGGGGAGGAGGGGTGATGGCGGAGGGGAGTTTGGGGACGAGGTGGGGAGGGGTGGGAAACATACGCATGTTTGGGGGAGGCCGGTCGAGGGGGATGAAGGGGTCGGAACGAAGACGTGCGTGGAGTGTGGGATGGAGGTTGAGGAATTGGAATTCTAGTGGGGGAGGCGTGCTCGATAGAGCGCGAGAAACTACAATATATAAATGTACCTAGTCAGACTACATAACTAGCACTCTAGAGCACTAGAGACAGCTCCCTAGTCATGATCCCGCATACCATAATACCCATACGCTACAACCACGTCGAAATCCTGCTTGTCGAAATAAGATGCTCGAAAATTGGCGCCATAGTATTGCACGCATACCCAGCTTGAGTTCGAGCAGAGATAGTGCAGATCGAATGAAGCGTACACGTTAGGATCGAACCCTTCGGATCCAAGAGCACAGATGGTGGCGGCATCACATGGGTTGAGTGTGCCGGGGTATGTTCTGTAGTGCTCCAGGTTAGCGAGTACTACTTCGAAATACGTAGACGAATAGGGGCCACCCTGCACGTACGAGTAGATAGGCGGGTAAAGAGGATCGACATTGCCAGGATTGTTTGTATTTTCGATGTAGCATTGGCCGGAGTGATACTGCTCGTAACCGTTGAACTTCGTACAAGCAGCCGTTGGAGTGGGATAGGAGCATGTGGCGCAGGTGCTGTAAGACGTAGTGTGAGCAGCGGTGCTTGTTGGCGGTTTTGAGCTTGACGGGGATGTTTTCGATGCGGAGGGGCTTGAACCTGAGCTTAAGATCCTAGTGCTGGAGCTTTTTCCCGTACTCGAGGATGTAGACCTTTTTCTGGATGTTGATATTGTACTGTAGGTATGGATTTGACTTGTCATGCTGGAGCTCAATAGGCTGCTGCTCGTTGGAAGCTCCGCGCTGGATGTCGATGTCGACAAAGATCTGCTTGACAGTATTGATGGCGAGCCACCGGGCAAGGAATTAGACAGAGAATTGACCGAAAAGCTTGATGACGTGGGAACGTCTGTTGTAGTCGATGAACTTGTAACGACACCGGGAGACTCCGACTGAACAGACGATACTGAGCCCGCGGATCCTATCTTAGAGCTTGCAGACGAAGTATTAGGTGGGGGATTCGTGGCTATTGAAATCACGGTTGATTCTGATTTGTGGCAATCTCCGATACAACAGCTGAATCCGATGAGTGCCTAGCTTATTTAGTCGGCTCTGAAGGGGAGGCATACCAGACAGTCTGTGCGAACGTGGGGTCAGCAGCTTGTAGGTAAGAGAGCAATATGCATCGATCGCTTCCGCTGGCACACGTCGGATCGCCGACTTGTATCGGACTTTCAGAAGAGAGATTGGAACAGTATGCCTGAGCAGGAGGAAAGGCACTGAGTTGGAGATAAGGTTCATATGCTGCCGTTGAGCATATGGGAGGTGTATTACGAAAATCCATGGTTGGCTGTGGGGGAGAGAGGAAGAAGCACAGAACACCTCTAGGCTTGCTAGTACGTTGTAGCCTCTGCAATGAGAATTGAGAAGATATGAGAAAAGAAGGGAGTACTACTTAGGCGTCGAGAGATGTATTAGAGGTGTAACCATGGTCGAGATTCTCATGACCTATCCGAGGTATTTTACTGAAGTCGCAGTTAGAAGCATTCCCAACAATGGGTTTCAGTAACGAGCCACGCCATCCGCTAAACAATCAAGCTGCGTGCTTGTGTACTCTCGAAAAGTAGGGTAGCTGAGCTTGAATAAAGCCCCCAAGACCCCAAGAATAGACCCCGGTCCTACGGGTCGGGGCGTGCTCTCTAGTGACCGAGCTCAAACCCTGGAAGGGAAGAACGAACGTCACTCGTCCCATTGGATGGCCCATTCCTCAACGTTGGCCGTTTTAGAGAAGGCACGAGCCTCCCAATTCCAGAGGACTTAAATTTCACACAAAATCGTATTACCAACCCACCTTTTAGCCAGTTTTGACCCTCACGGCAGCCTGAGATCTCGAGCGATATAGCGGAAAGAGTCCTTAACCAGAATGCAGGAACAATGCTCTGGGTCAAGGCTCAGGTCAAGAGGCTCCTCCAATTCCATCCATACAGTTCTCAAGGTTATTAAGATGCGCGGGACATTGCCAGGCCCATGGCGGGTGCAATGAGATGGGGAGGACCAGAACTCGGCGCCACCTGAGATCATAACCAAACCTGCTGTGATCATGGCAGGCTTGTGAGACACCGGGACACTCCACAATCGCAGTGCCTCTGCTTATCGTCTGTTTCTAGACACGGTCACCTTAGCTGAGCCTTATCATCTCCCCACCTCGACCATAATTACATCAGTGGGTGGGGAGCGCAGAGGCCGCTCATGCTCCCACAAAGGTGAAGTAGTCAAGCGATTGGCGATAGAAGCGGATTGCTGATCCGGCTGCCCCAAATCAGCTACGGCGAGTATATTCGCAGTCACAGACATCATACTCTCCAAGCCAGCCCCCAGCCCTATTATTGAAAACCACACGCTGTCTCCCGTGGAATCGTACATGTAATAGAAGACAGCCCCTCGCAGCTTTGCACTATTCACGGCAGCTAGCGGATCTCAGGTCTTGTATTCCTGAGGCGCGAATGTTCGCTGTTTCAATAGGCTCAAATCCTATCCTGTGTAATCCGGGAAGCTGGAGTGCATGCAACTCGGGAAACTTGTTACCTTGAGACATATTTGCCTATCAGTACACCTTCGCAGTCTATGATGTATCAACTAATTGCTGTCTCTTATCCAAACCACTACCGCTCCCACAGATTTTTTGATGAACCTACAACAATATGGACCTTCAGTGACACTCGTCATGCTAAGCATCGAGGTTTCAATGTGCCACATCAACGTAACCTCTTACCAGCCGCCCCCACATGTGTCGAGTGACTTGACAGCAAATCGGAGCGAGGATTTCAAACGACTCTCACATGCGCAGGGTAAACTTTTTCCTTCGTTGCGTATTATTTAGCCGTTCGAATCGCTCAGTGGTGGTCCCTTTCAGCCATCTGGCGATCATTCGACTTGCGGCCGCGTTTCGAGCCATGCCCCCCAAAAGCTTCCTGATTGCGAATGAAGAGGACGGGGACATCAGGCTCGGGATATTCCACGATAATATTTAACAAAAAATTTGTTGCGACTGCTGAGACCATACCGTCCAAGGAAACCGAGCTCTCTGCCGCATTGCTAAATGGGCATCTCACAAGTGCAGGTGTCGCTCCTCAGCTTGAACTCGATAAACTAGGCCCTGGATCTTGTGCGCTGATAGTCGCGAAGCCGATTGTCAGTCTTTGAAAATTTGGTCAGGGGGTGAGGATGTCATGAAAGTGGGCCTGGAGATCTGGAATCAGGGTAGTTGCGTTCAAGACACTAGGTAGGCTTTTAGTGAAGACGGAGATGTCAGTGAAATGAATGTCTTTGAATACCTTCTGGAATAGCATCGTCTCTAAGCGACTGCTTACAGCCAGTACAACCCGTATAATGATCACGCGATCATTTATTTTCAGGATGTCAGCGGCTCTTTCACAATTTCCTATATATTCAGTGATCAGCCAGTTAGAGCGAAAAGTATGACCCTTATCGTCTTCCAAGAGCAGGAAGACATTGCTATAGATCATGGCTTATAACTTGATATTTGAAGTGTATTAGTCGACACAAGCACAAAAACACGGGATCGCTCAGCCCTACCATGCTTGGCGCGACGGATCTGCTGCCAAGTGGGAACATCGACTTCGCCGCCAGCAGGCCGTTGATGATCCCACCCGTTACCACCGTTAAGAACCGTTAACACCTTATCACTGCTAAAGGCCATTCATTTGATATTTAAGATAGATCCTCGGGGTATGAATCACACCTATCTCCTTACCGTCGTTCACACCAAATCCGTATCTCCAAACAAGAGCTTCAGATTCACAGCTCGCGACTATACCAGCTCAATCCGTGAAAGCTTGTTGAACAAAAAGCCAACCCAGATCCGTCGGTTGTGTTTAGGTATACGGTAATGATTGTGCGGCCGTGAGAACCTAGGAGACAATGGCATGGCAGAACTCCGCTGGCATGGGGGGCAGCGGAGGGAGTGCCGGTGGTGGGAGCGAGGCAGGTAATAGTGGAGGTCAGCCTCAAGGCACAGAGTATACATTACAAGGTAAGCACACGTCATGATACGAGCGTCGTCACCTGTGGACGATTCAAACTTCTCCGCTGACCCATCTTTCATTACAGGGGTAATGCGCTTCCTACAAACTGAATGGCATAGACACGAGCGTGAACGGAATGCCTGGCAAATTGAAAGAGCGGAGATGAAGTCGCGAATAGGAAAGCTCGAGGGCGACGGGAGGACAAACAAGCGACTACGGGAATCAATGGACAAACACATCAGGCTTCTGGAGCATGCCCTCAAAAAGGAGAGGGAAAAAGCCAAATCTCCGCAATCTGGGACGCAACCAGAGGACAAGAAAGAGGAGATTCAGGCCACGAAGCAGAACGTCAGGCCGACCTCTAAGGGTAGGCCATCTCTCGCCACTCTCTAATTCCTGGTAGCTAACAAAACCCGCGATCTCTAGGCAAACCTCACAACTCCTTCCTCGACCTCGAACCCGAAGATCAATCCTCTCCAAGTCTCAGACACGAATCGGAAAGAGATAGGTCACGGTTGTACCTTGGCAAATGCATCGAAGAGGTCTCGTACCACGTCTTATCGTTCAACGGCCAGCAGCAATATAGCGAAGAGCCGGAGCAAGCACTTCAGAATCACCAATACGCCAACGATCAACAACCACAGAGGTCTTTAGAGGAGGTGTATGTCCAGCAAAGACAAAAGCAGCTACCGACAAATTACGGATCATTAGGACCATCGCCTCTACCTAATCATCAACCTCCACCCGTCCCTCGAGTCTCTGATATTCCAGCACTCTCTCGCACCTCACAGCCACCAGAACAGGCATCCTACATGAGTCGAAGTCTGCCGGAACGACAAGCGCAACAGCAAAACCCGCCTCTTACCGCTATCGATCGGTCAAATCAACCTCGGTCAGAATACGGCTTCCCTAATCGTGATCGCGATGAGCAAGTTGAAAAGGTGGCACATAGCTATGATTCATTTGGCCGACCTATACCACCTCGCGAAGAAGAGGAGAACGCCAAAACATCAGAAGAGCCGGAGGTTGCGGATGCAGATGGGTGGAATTTTGACGACCCTGCAGAGCCTCCTCTTACTGAAGACCGGCCTGCGCCAGAGCAACCATTACCTCAAAGACCTGATACCGACGTCTTCCCAAACGCAAACAACGTTGCATTGAAATCTCCTACGCGCGGGGGGCCTGGTTCGCATAGACGGAAAAGCTCTTTATCGAGAAGGCGGCCGAGCGATGGATCACATGAGCTGAGAGAGCTATCAACGTCGCATACGGGTGGCAGCTTCAGAGGCGATGCTGGCCAGTTCAAGGTTCGCTTCGCACTCAGAGGTCATCTCGACGTCGTGCGATCCGTCATTTTCTCCGGTGGAGGGAGCCCAGCGCAACCTGAGATCTGCACCGCTGGGGATGATGGGACAATCAAGAGGTGGACGGCCGGCAGCAATCCAAACAAGGGAGAAGATCTGGATCTCAAGTGCGATCAAACCCATCGAGGCCATACTGGAGCCGTTCTCTCGCTTGCAGCATCTCCTGTACACCAGCCATTTACAAACGGCGGTAGGGCCCAAGGAGATGGCTGGGTCTTCTCGGGAGGGCAAGACGCTACCGTACGAGTCTGGGAACGGGGCAGGGTTGACCCGAAAGCTACACTGGATGGTCATACAGACGCCGTGTGGACGGTCTGCGTCCTGCCTGGAACTTCTGCATCCATACTTGGAGATCAGTCTACGCATCACGGTGGGCCGGACCGAACGATCATTGCATCCGGTGCCGCGGATGGAACAATACTCATCTGGGCTGTCAGTACACCACCTCAAGCATCATCACCGCATCAAGCGTCGAGAAGGGGTACGGGGGGTAGTCGAAGAGCAAATTCGGTATCGGCAGGCTCCAACTTCCCATCCTCACCACAGCCAAACACCGCTACTTCCAAACCATTTCAATACTCCCTCGTCCACCGGATCGAGAGGCCCGATCACCCATCACCCACATGTATCAGTCCTTTGTCCATATCCGGTGAGACTTTCGTGGTGTCTTATGCTGACGCTTCCATTCTCGTCTACAACACCCGCACAGCAGAAGAGATGGTCGGCATGGCGAGTCTGGAAACGTATGACGGGACTGCCAGCACAGGCGTCAATGCGGTAGGCGCTACGACTGTGGGTCTGGAGGGCACCATGAGCTTTGACTCTGGAAGAGGGGTATCGGAAGATGAGAGCACGGTTCACGGCCCTACTGGATCGAGCAGCGGTGTTGAAGGCGTGATACTCAGTGGGCACGAAGATCGCTATATCCGATTCTTCGATGCCAACAGCGGTACTGATCCCTTGTTTACACTATGATTACATGCTGATGGATGTAGGTCAATGCACGTACGACATGCTTGCCCACCCCGCCGCCATCTCTGCGCTCTCCCTCTCACCCTCGGGTGCGGAACTTGTCTCTGCCGGTCACGATGCTAGTCTCCGATTTTGGTCGCTGGAGAAAAGATCTTGCGCACAAGAAATCACGAGCCACCGGCTCATGCGCGGCGAAGGCATCTGCAGTGTTGTGTGGAGTCAGGACGGCAGGTGGGTGGTCAGTGGAGGAGGCGATGGTGTTGTGAAGGTGTTTTCCAGGTCCAATGGGGACCAAAGCAGGCAGGTATAGTTCTGCCAAGGTCCGATGCCCGACAGTACTCTGTGGCTCTGATTGTTCGTTTCTTGTACCCCTCTTTACCGTCTCCGTGGGAGACGGTTTCTCGCAGGACTTTGGATGTGACTTGTCACGTTCACCGCGGAGCACAGCACGCATATGCATTTAATACCAACTGGACGTGTGTATGATGGCATTTCGAGCAAGATTTCATTTGTTCGATTCGTGATCCTGTTCTTTACCAGAGGAAACATATTTAGTATTGGCATGATGCAGTACCGTGATCCTCGTCCACTTGATTCCGCATTGATTTTGCCCTTTCTATCCATGGAGTTGGCCTATTCCCATTTGCGTCCCGCAAGCAGCCCGAAGCACGACTCACTACCTACCATGACCTCGCTGTCGCCACGTCGATGGCATGATGGCCTTCCTCATTAGGCTTGGTTGGATCTCTGGCTGGCTAGACCGAATGGATACTAGATAGGCGAGGGCCTAGACTTGGCGTTGGATGTGGGGTCTTTAGGGTTTGGTCCCACTCCAGCAACTCCCAGAATCCCAACTCTGCTTCTTGATGTGGGGTTGAATAATACAGTGAATAATACAGTAATAATGATAAGAAGATGTCCAGATTCAATTTCTGGTGAGTGTTCATGTATCTCCCATCAAGAAGCAAGGAATACTACGAGTACTCTACTCTACTCTACTCTACTCTGCTTCATCTAATCTAGATTACTCTCCTCCTTCCTCTTCATCTTTTTCCCCACCCTTTCCTTACCTTCCGCCTGTCCTTGCTTCGATTAACACTACAACAGGATGCTCCCACAGACCCTCCTCCCCTTCGCCCTCCTCCTTCCCCTCACCACAGCTGCAGAAACAGTCCTCGGCCTCTACATCTTCTCCCGCCATGGTGACCGCACATCAAAAGCATGGCCTCCCACCAAGCTCACAAACTTGGGGTACAACGAAATCTTCTCCTCCGGGACCTGGTTCCGCGAGAACTACATCAACGGCTCCTCCCCCATCAATGGCATCGAACCGAATAACGTCAAGCTATCCCAGATCGCTGCCTCGGCGCCTCTCGATAATGTCCTTATGACTTCCGCCCAAGGCTTCTTACAGGGACTCTATCCTCCTGTTGGCGCGACGCTGGGAAGCCAGACTCTGGGCAATGGCACTGTCGTGGCAGCGCCGCTGAATGGATACCAACTCATCCCCATCCAGACAGTCACCACCGGTACGGGGAGTGAGAACGACGCTTGGCTACAGGGTGCGAGCAACTGCGCAGATGCGGAGATCAGCTCAAACAACTACCTCACGTCGCCTGAATATCTGGCTCTCCTGAACAGTACCCAAGCTTTCTACAGCAACATCCTCCCAACCATCAACACCACTTTCAACGCCAGCCAGGCCAATTTCGCAAACGCTTACTCAAGTAACATTCCCCTTCCTCCGACCCCATCCTCCCCGCTCCCCTCCCCACGCTGACAAACTCCACCCTAGTCTTCGACCACCTCAACGTCGCCGCAATCCACAACGCCACCATCCCCTCCTCCAACCTCCTCACCCCCGACGCCCTCCTCCAAATCCGCACCCTGGCCGACACCCACGAGTTCAACCTCGCCTACAACGCCTCGGACCCCATCCGCGCCGTCGCCGGCGCCACCCTCGCCGCCCAAATCGTCACCGCCCTCAACGCGACCGTCGCCTCCAACGGCACCGCCGCCCCCGTCACCCTCCAACTCGGCGCCTACGGCCCCTTCCAGTCCTTCTTCGGCCTCGCGGACCTGCCCTCCCTCGGCCCCGACTGGGTCGGCATCCCGGACTACGCGTCCACGATGACGTTCGAACTCTTCACCGACGCGCCGCCCTCGCCCTTCCCCGCCGCCGACGACCTCCGGGTCCGCTTCCTCTGGCGCAACGGCACCGCGGGCGGCGCCGGCGCCCCGACGCCGTACCCGCTCTTCGGGCAGCAGGACTTGACGCTCGCTTGGACCGATTTCGTGTCCGGGATGGATAAATTCGCCATCGGTTCGCAGGCCGATTGGTGCACGGCGTGCGGGAATTCGACGGGCGCGTGCGCTTCCTCCTCCTCGACGCTCACGTCGCCTTCGTCGGGCGGGAAGGACGGCGGTGGCGGTGGTGGTGGTGGTGGGGTCAGCAGGCCTGTCGCGGGCGTCATCGGCGCCATGGTTACGCTGGCTGTGGTTCTGGGCGTTGAAGGGTTGATCATGTTAGTGGCGGGGTTGAGGTTGGTGGGGAAGAGGAGATTGGGGGCTGGGGCGAGGGAGGGGGCGGTGAGGCCGAAGGCTTGATGGGTGGGTGTGAGGGTTGGAATGGGGACGGTTGTGGTGGGAAGGGAGATCGGATCTGCGTGAGGAGGAGAGGAGAGGAGAGGAGAGGAGAGGAGGGAAGAAAAGAAAAGAAGCATGAATGATGAAACGCGTCTCACACGCAGTCCAAGAAAGAACGACTGCTTGCATGATTGAATGAGCCATGATACTCCACATCATTCACGTCAGCGCTGTGAGCTCGATGAGTTGTTCACACGTGTATGAGAAAAGTTCCTCGACACCCACTCAATCGTACGTCATATCAAAAACGCTTCCAGTGTCCCACGGCGTGAAATGGTGTATACGAAAGGGAACTACCTACCTAGCTAACATTCTCAAATCCACATTACCTTACAGACGTCTCCGAGCGAGCAGCATTCCACAAATAGACCGGGCAGACGACGAAAGGGATTAGCCGGTGTACTGTTACTAGCAAGGTATGTATGTATATCGGATGCACAAAGGCTTGATCTCATCCCATTCAACACCTACCTTTTCCTCTCTACTCTCCCTGCCAACTCCAGGGATTCCGTAGGCCGATATGCGCCATATTTGACACGTCGGAAGCCCCCTTCCCTTCCTCCATGCCTGCCCTCACCCGCCTAATCGCATCCTTTTCTCACGCAAGCGGTGGTAGGTTCCGTTTGCCCGCTCGCCTGAGGCCTCCGTATGCCTCATCTTCTCTTCCCCTTTGCGCATGCTTTTGTGCTTTCGGACGTCGTGTCCAAGCGTGGACTTTGAGGCTTTGGATACCTCGAGTGGGAGCGAGAGTACAGGGTATAACCGGTGACGTCGCGGGTCTTTTCGTTGCCGTGCGCAGAGCAGAGGAGAGCGGCATATGTAGCTGTGGGAGTGGATCGCAGGACGTTGCTGTTGTTCGAAGTGTCTCTCGATGGTGGATGTATGATACTCATTCGGTTGAGTCGATGTTGTTGGCATTGTTCGACGACGACGACGCGTTGGGCGAGCTATGGATAAGGCTTTCTTGCCCGGTGACTCGGTCGTTGATGACCGAGTCGGTCGCCCAGAGGAAGACGCCGATGCTGGATTTGGCGCCTACGCGGTCGCAAGAGGGTGTTAGATAGGTACGGAGGGCCAAAGATATTGCAGCGGTACAATGGTCTTATGTCTTACCAACGACATCCCACCCGGGTCGTCGAGTGGGTAGCAGGCAGTCTCGTTCAACGACGCGTGCTGCGCCGTATATGTCTTTAAAGGTGGCTGTGTCGGACGGCTCGTAGCCTCTGGGTCCTCGGCCGGGCAATGGTTCTCGGGGTCCGAACCAGTTGAGCATTACGATGGAGAGGGTACAGGAGTCTTTGGGGATTTTCCCGTCAGCAACGAGTCGTGTCTTTCCTCCAGGAACGGCGGATGTGGGATGGGAGAGGGTTGATACTCACTCGTGGTGTACTGCATCGGCGTCCGCACCCATGGCTTCCTTGTTTGGGGGTAGGAGCCTGGGGCGATGAATTCGTAGATTTCGTCAGGTTTTTGGAGAACCTGTTCGAGGTAGACGCGCTGGATGGCGGTGAAGCAATCTTCGACGAGGAAGGCGTAGGCTTGCCAGTCTTGCGAGCTGGAGCAGCGATTTGTCGCTGTGAGGTTTTTGATGGTGTCCAAGTCGAGGAGCGGGTCGAAGGGAGCTGCAAGTGCCGCCAGGGCAAAGAACAACAGGAGGATGAATAGCATTGTGGTCGAGGAATGTGACTGGAAATGAAGCTTTACACATCGCAGACATCCATATTCTGAATAATGAGAGGCAGAATGACCAAGGTTTTCCGTTATCGTCTTCAGCAGTAAAAATCCCTCAGCTACCCCAGATCTCACGCGACTCGAGCTTGCGACTTGCGCGTGAGGTGAGGTACAATCGTATGCGCATCGCATCGAAAGATAACCATCCCAACCAGCCCAAACCCAATCCATTGGACCCCATGTGGTGATTTCCAGGGTGATTGCACCGAGTCCAAGACCAGGGTTTTCGGTATGCAAAGATTGCTCAACAAAGCAGTCACTCTCCTGCCGTCACAAGCCCTTTCTTCGAACTCGTCACACTGATCTTCGGCTTGTGACTGATCGTCTGCAAAACCACGCAATACCGCTCCGTCAACTGCACCAGCTTCTCAACCTTGCTCGGCTCCGCATCCGTATCCAACACGAACTCCAACCGTATCCCCACAAACCCGACCGGCGCACCCCTATCCACCCCCATCGTGCCCCGGAAATCCAAATCCCCCTCCGCCCTCACCTCCCCCTCCGCGATGTCTATCCCCATCGCGGTGGCGACGGCTTTCAACGTGACGCCCGCGCACGCCACGAGCGCTTCCAGCAACATGTCGCCGGAGCACAGTTCGCCGGAGATCTCGGGGTCGTCGCCGCCGGCTGCGGGGTGGAGGCCGGCGGTTCTGGATTTGGCGGCGGCGAGGGCGGGGCCGGAGGAGAGGGAGCAGGCGATGGAGGTGGAGGAGAGGGTGCCGGTTGTTTTGAGGGTGAGGAGGGCGGAGGAGGGGTCGGTTTTGTAGCGTTCTTTCAGAGGGGCTTGTTTGGTGCGGAGGGTGGTGGAGTCCATGTTTGGTGGTGAGGGAAGAATTGTGGGAAGAGTGCTGGAGGAAGCTAGATGTATGTATGTTGATAAGATTGATGCGTTGAGAGAGATGGTGAGTGCGACTAAGAGGTGGGTAGGTCTCTTCTCTCTTAGGAAGATCAAGCTTTATCTCCGAGCCCCGGTATTATTTCGTTTCATCTCGTTAGCGGTGCGGTTAAGAACAGAAATTTTATGAAGCTGATTCGAAAGTTTTCTTTTCGCATGAATGGACAAAGCGCTCAATGTTTATAACCTGATTAGAATGACAATCTTCATACTTAATCAACAGACGTTCACACCCTTTTACAACTGCAGGACATTCGACTACTGAATCTAGTTATATATAATCAATACATACTTCAAGATTTGGTGTGGTTTTGGCATTATGTCCTGGTGAGCTCCGGTTTCGCGAGTCAATACAAAAGACGTAATATCGTATGGTTGCTAGCATCTCTGATCCGCTTATACGACAACGATTACCTGTGGATACATATCTAGCTCGACTCCAAGTACCTTACCTAATCGCCAATCATATAAGCTCGTAAAAACCCAAACCGGAAAGCGGTGCTTGATTTTCTCGCATGTTTCGACCCCCCCCCCCACAGCAACACCCAGACAACGAGCCCCCCCCCCCGAGTCGGCTCGAACATGAGCAAATCAGACCCGCTTAGAGAGCTGCAATAGAATAAGTAAGGTAACTAAACCCTGTCTGCGCGGTGAGTACTCACGAGCAATCAATCAATCCAACCCTCGACTCCAAACCTCGAATCACGACGGCGTCTACGGACTCAACGAATTGTCTCTGTAGAAGTCGATACCTATGCTCCAAAAAAGGGTTGAGGGGCGACCCGGGTGGCTTCGAAAATGCCTAAGCTGGATGGATCTACGCAGTGATGACGAGTAGAGTACACTTCGGTCCTAGACTGCGTCCAAATGGATCAAAACGTGGCGCTTGGGCCTGCAATAGAGAGTTCATCGATTTCGCCTCGTGCTATGTTTCATTGGTGGTAACTGGACCTCTCGTAGCCCGTGGATAGCAGACACCGCTTTCTACAAAGATCCGATTCCCGATCAAGGACAAAAGTTCAGACCACACCCTTCCGACAGCAGATGCCATCTTTACACCGCATCGCCCTCTTCCAACACGTACTCGCCTCGGGGTACATCTCCCCCGCCTTCCGCTCCGAGCACAGCGTCCTCGCCAGGAACGCCTGCAACTCCCGCAACCGCTCGCAATACGCCGCGCTCCATTCCCGACAGACGCCGTTGCCCTCCAGCTCGAGCTCGAAGGTCCGCAGCCCGCGGACCCGCAGCATCGGCCTGATCCAATCCTCGTCCGTCCCGAGCCCCAGCTCCTGGGTCTTCCGGCACAGGTGGACGCGCAGGGTCGTGAGGGCGGGCATCCGCGTCGCCATCGTCGACCACACGCGGCCCCAGTCGCGGATGAAGTCCCAGAACCTGGAGCCGGGGGTCATGTCGGTCCAGAAGGGCGCGAAGCACTCGGCGAACATGTTGATGTATATGTTGGTGATGGACGCGAGACGGCCGGGGCGGATGCTTTTGGAGAACCAGAGGAATGTTTCGAGATTCGAGCAGGTTTGCAGAGCGAATGTGTTGGTGGTGTAGAGTATGTCGATTGATTCGTTGTACATGGCTCGGCAGGTCTTGACGAGACTCATTCTGCCGTGTCCTGCCTCCTTCTGGGTGGGCCCATAGAGGTTGTAGGAACGGTGCCCGCCGTTTAATTTCCGTTGGCAGCTATAATGCACGATTCGCGGTTTGTCCCAAGGATGCTCGAGATGGAGCATCTCGTCACCGAGGACATAGATGTAGATCATGCGGCGGATTTCGTATGGGAGTTTCACGAAGAGATCCCCACCTTGGGACTGGGGCCTGCTGTTGCGTGGTAGAGAAAGGTCTCTGAGTCTCTTCGGTCTTTCGGGAAGGGGTTTCGGGATTGCAGCTTTCGCCTTCTCCTTTCGTCTGTGTAGTATGATAGGGCGCATGATTGATGTCTTTATTGGACGGTAAAAGTCACGCCGTAGCGAGCGAGAAGTTCGTTGGAGGGCTGATAAAGTTTCAGGGTGAGACGGCGGAACATCTGCCGGTTCATACCTCAGTTGGGATCCATACTCGCCATATTGGTATAGACTTAAGAGATGTTCCAAACTTACCTCGGAGCTCGAAGGCCAAATCCAGCCGGCCCCTGCCTGAATTTTCACACATTGGTGCTGAAGTTCTTCCCAACTCGGAATCTCCCACAGTGACGAGGGTGGAAGATCCTCCTATGAAGACTTCTTGGCAAAATATGCACCGACTCTTTTGGTATGCACTGTCTAAGCCCCAAGCAGCAAGCGGTAGCGGATACAAGACGAGGCAAGGCTACTGCAACGCGACGTCACTGGTTTCGTATTCTGCAAACTCGGACACCGAGCATGGCCGCAGAAATGCAAGGGAGTATTCGGGAAACAGAGGTTTGTTGATTTTGATTTAGGTTTGGAAGCTATTAACAATGATACAGAATAATTATTGATTGCGATAGGAGCCGAATCAACAAGCTGGGAAGGGTAGCTTGAATTATGTGAACCGATTAAAGACCTTTGGAGTGCTCGTCGACGCTTAGATTGGTAGGTGTTGTTGAATGCTCACTCACAAGGGTGTAAGCTTTGCTTTAAATCAGCAAATAAATCAATTGATTGATTGATTGATTGATGAAGGATTAGACGAACGAATGAGTAGAGTGGAATGACATACATAATAAGATTCAGAAACAATCTGGAGGGGAAGGCTTCGGGAGCTAGTACTAGTTAGTAAGCTAGCAAGGCGGCCGTCTCGTCCCGCATTCGCCGTTGCACCAACGGCCCCAAGACCAAAAATATTTCTCTGCTGATTCTTTATCTTCCGACTTTTTCTTCACAAAAACACCCATCATCCTACCATCAAGTCGACGGGCTGCGACGTATTCACCATCTGTGGGAAATACAAATCGTCGGCATAATCAGCTGTACCCCTTGCAGAACCACGATGTCTGGAACACGAGCGAATATTTGTTCCAAAAACTCTGAATGAAACCTCACTGATAACGATTGCAGCGGCTACAGCGCAATCGAATTCGCGCTAGGGCTTCTGCAAGAGGAAAAACAGGTTCATGTGTCACTGGAGCGCCAGCATATTTAAGTTCTGGAAGGATTCTAGGGACTTCCCTCTTTGGCTGCGGATACCGTCAGGATGCATTGACGTGCATGGATCTGGGTAGATTTGCATTGGCATGCGTAAAACGTGCGTTGAACCAGTACTTTCAAAGTCTGTGCGGCTCTCGTGAGCGACCAGGTACCCGTACGATGCCTGGCAGATCTGAGATCTCGTGCGTGGGTACACTCTGAGGTGACAGCGCATTGATTTTCCACTTGGGTTTCCAATGAAAATGACCACTTCCCCAATTTCTGCCTTTTGATTGCTTGACGCGACGTGCTCCTCTCTCTTTCTTTGTTTTCTTTCCTTACCATCTTTCATTCAACACTCTGGGCCAATTGCTAAGATGCTTGACGGAAATCCAAGAGGAGATCTTGTGATCAAAGTCACCATTGCCTGCGGTATCCTCGAAACTCTTGCTGTCTTCTTACGACTCCTCGCTCGATGGAGAAGCAAAGCAGCTTTCGCCGCTGATGATTGGTGGATTGTGGCGACCTTGATACCTTCGTATGCCATGCTGGCGGTGGGCTGTCTTATGGTCACCATCGGGGGCGGTGGTCGGCATGCTGCAACGTTGGACTTGTACCAGATCGAAACCTTCCTGAAAGCAAGTCATTATATGTGCAACCCGATGCTCTCGAAGCTCTGCTAATAGACTGGTCAGACTGTCAGTGCCGCCCTAATTGCTTACGCCTGCACAATCCTCATGGTCAAAATCTCCATCCTCTTGATGTATCGCCGCATCTTCGACACCGAGGCATTCAAGAAGGCCACGTGGGTTGTCGGCACGGCATGCGTTGCATGGGCTATAGCTGCAATCCTCTGCCTCGTGTTTCAATGCCACCCTATGTCTGGAATGTGGAACCCTGAGGATACTTTCACCAACAAGTGCATAAATCTGCAGGCGTACTACAGGGCAGTTGCATCCTCGAACATGGCGCTCGATGTTGTGATTCTATTTATGCCGTTATATATGGTCTGGAGGTTGAAGCTCGAAGCAAGTCAGAAACTCATGCTGTCGGGCATCTTCGCTTTGGGCGGCTTGGTTTGCGTGGCTAGCCTGATGCGTATCATAACTGTCACCCTGATCAAAGGGGCCGATCTAACGTGTGAGCTCACGATCCCCAAACTCTATCCTCGGGTACGCCAATTGACATGTTTAATGCAGACTCTCTGACGACGCCGTACATGTGGAGTCAACTGGAGCCAACCATGGCTGTCGTCTGCGCTTGCCTGACGACCTACCGGCCACTCTTTGCTGGCATGCATCTCAAATTCCGGAACACTTTCAGCAGAGGCAAGCGCTATTCTTCCGGAATCAATGATAACGACACTTTCATGGAGGTCACACCCGCGCACAGCCGAAGGTCGTCGAGGTGGTCGAAAGGGAGGAGACCCAGTGATAATCGGGAGCTCCTTCGTTTTGAGCGAATGAACAATCAGGGAACGAAAGGAGGGCTGCATGTTGTGAATCTTGCTGGTGTGGCATACACTCCGCCAGCCTCCGGCGCATTGTCTCCTGGGCGAGAGGACTATGGTTTCCCAAGACCTCAAGTGAGCAGAGAAGATTCATATGTTTAATAATAATAAGAGAGGGCCAGGTATGCCATCGGGCATAACTTTGGTTGGCACTATAGATCGATAGTTTCGCAACATAGATTAAGGATACAAGTGTACGTTACCATCCTCATCTCATCCATCGAGCAAGTGCGTCAACAGAAAGCATCCTGATCCGCAATAATGTTGGGTCAACGGGCCAAACGTTCTTATCGTGTAGCAAGACAGGAGAATCTCTGTCGTTCCGCTTGAATTCCCTTTGGAACCTCGATGACCTGAACATGTGAGCAGGTACACCATGCCGAGGATTGGTCTACTAGTCCCACAAGACAGCCCACATGGTTTCTCCAAGAAGCGGATGTTGGCAATCCGGCGCGTGGTCAGAAGAACCCTGGTTTCGTCTAAACTTAAGTGCGTTGTGCAATGTAAGGCCTACCTGCCAAGCCACTGGTCTCCTGCCGCTACAATTTCTAATGACTCCCAAAATCCGAAAACTTTGTCATATTGCTTGCGGATCAAGCCAGCATGCATAACCGCAAACAAAGGCAATATCCCTAGCTCTTCGTCTAGTGACCTAAAGCTGTCGAAGGGAAACTTTAGGAGCCACCAGTATAGGATCGATGTATTGAAGGTCTTTCGCTCGACTCAATTTCGCCTTTTTGATGCTGAGTTTGTTGCGACAGTGGTGTATTGCAACGCACGGGCTGGTTTGAAAGACCGCGGCAACACGAAGTTGACGTTCCCCATATAGGAGTAGTAAAAATGGGCAGTCTGCTCCTACCCATATAGTATCTCACAGACCCCACCAACAGGCACATCCATGACGGCGTCCGTACCCTCATTCCATAGTGTTCCCCAATCAACCTCTTTCGCATCGTTGATGCCTATCGCAGCTCCAGCCTGCCCAGCCTTCCTCTGTATCAGCCCGTGGCTGTCTAGTACCGCAACGTGCGCCGCGTCGTCGACGATGTTCTCTATACTACTCATGGGCAGAGTCAGATAGCCAGTGTTGTAGGAGGCTAATGCGACGTAAATGTAGACGAGAGTCATGACGAGGAAAGAGGGTATGGCAAGAGACCACCAGCGGTTCGGGTAGTAGTAGATACCAAGTTGGTGAAGGAAGGGTGAGGGTAGGTAAGACCAGAGGAGGTACATTACTGGAGAAGTAAGCGGGTAGTCCATGGGTGAGACTGGTGGACCTACGGAAAGCAAGAGAAGAGAGCAGGTACAGCACGAAGCCGTAGTATTCGTACGTAGGAACCTTTGGACTTGCTCTAGGCACCGTTGTAGCAATGCGAGCCGACTTGGCAACAGCCGCTTCCGTGTCATTGGGCGTATCGTTCTCCGAGCTGTCTGGGGTCGTAGGACGCGAGGTCGTTGTAGAGAAGGGAGGCCGAAGAAGTGACGTCAAAGAAGGCGAGGCAGGCAGGGGAGTGGGCGGTCTGTTATAGTACGGCGGAGCAAAGGCATTAGACATGAGGAAGGAAGAATTGGAGTGGTGGAGAAATGGTGGGTGTCCCGGGCCTCCTGCACCATTGCCTGACTCGGCGCCCGACGACTCATCTGAAGACGCATCATCGAGCGTGTATTGGGACTGGGTGCCGCTATCTTCTTCCTCCTCTTCATCCTCTTCGTCTTTCTCCTCGTCTCCGTACGCTGATGAGGAAGAGCTCGCGAATGCGTGGTCCATTCCAAGGGCTCGAGGTGTCTCTTCGGCTGGTGTGACGGGTTGCGCCAGATCGAAGCTCTGAAGGGACAAGGAGACTGCTCGACCTCTGCTTTGGGGCGCCATAGTTGGGTTTTCAAGCTTCAGGCCTGTAGAGACTAAGGTAGGGAGTAGGCTTGGGCATATGTTTTGGGAATCAACACGCTAGCAGCCCTATCAGTTTTGCTTACAAATGCGATACCGTACGAATATTCTACAACAGTAGTGCCTTACCCACGCCCACGAATTTTGTTCCCGGGCCAACATTTCTACACATCTTTCTATTGTATGCCAATCATGTCGCTTCGTGGTCAGTCCGTTCTGCGTCGAAATGGGAAACCACAGTCCTGTGAGCCTTGTCGCAAGTCGAAGCTCAAGTGCGACCATGTTTTGCCGACATGTGGACGATGCATCCAGAGAAAGATTGGACACCGCTGCATCTACCATCCAGCTCCAATGTCGAGGCACACTGTAGGAGATACAGAAGCGTCAATGTCAGGCTTGAGGCATAGCTCACTTGTCGAGAGAGTCTCGTCCGTAGGTACGGAACCTCTTGACTGGATTGGGCCCAATGTACATACTCATCATCCATCGGCTGATGCGGGGAAAACCGCTGGTGATCAGCCTGCTGGATACTTGGGACCTACAAGTCAGTAACTTTGTTACACATCTCTCTACGAGAAGCCACTGCGAAAATGCCTCGCTAAATCTAAACAATCAATGTCAGGCTACTCAGCAATATTTAGAGAGAATAAGCTGAGACTCAAGAGGATTTTTCTTCTCAAGCAAACGCTGTCTTGCAGGAGTATGATATCGCTAAGCCGGTGGCTTCCGAACGTGGGAAGTGTAATCTTGAGAATCAACACCATATCGACCAGGGGATTAGGATACTGCGTAGGTATCCAGACCGAATCATCTGCGATCGACTACTTGATCGTTACTTTGTTGTGGCTGATGTGATGCTCCCTGAACCTACCATTCGCTACTGTCATGAATCGATCTGGTCAACGTATGGAAGCTACTTGCGAGAGCCCAGGACCGACGAGCGTCTCTCGATTATGTCTAGAGAACTCTGCAAAAATGCTATGAAACCTCTACCTGCCTCATCTAGCACGAAGGAATGGACCGAATCATTTTCAGGTCACAAATTGCCGTGGGAAATTGTTGGTAACTTGTTCACCATCTTCGGGCTTTCCGTTATGACAGTGGCAGACTGGGATCCTCTGTTTGCATGCGACAAAGACAGAGACGAGTGTAATAAGAGACAATCTGGAGAGAATTCGAGAGAGTGTGCCGAAGCTTGTTTGGCTCTGTGCAATGATGTTGATTCTGTTAACGATTTCGTGATAGCTCTAATGTCCGCGGCATATGCGCTGCAGAGCTTTTACGAAGGTGACACCAGTAAGCCTTCTTCAAAACATCCACACGCCTCACCACTCTCATCTCCAGCGAAAATACTAATGAAAACCAGGCCAGCAACTCTGGAGAAGACATGGAGGCTTAGCTAGGTATTGACACCTCCAATCCATCAAAGGGTCTTCAGAGCTCACCAAAGTCAGTGCAGTAACAGCGCTCGGCTTACATCGTGAAGCCGACTTGGCATATTCCTCAACTACCAACATATCTCCTTCTTTCATGGTGTCAGAGTTCCGAAGACCCTTTTCTGCTATGTATTCATTACTGACAAACAGCTGGCAACGTTTATGGGAAGGCCGCCTGCATTGAGTCGTCGCTACACTACCTGTCAGATACCACTAGATCTGAGCGACGACGAGATTATGGCGGAAGGCGAGGAATTGGAAACCATCAAGAGTAAGCTCGACTCAAATGGCGGGAGCACTTCCGGCAAAATGTACCCTAGTACTGTGTGCCGAGCGTGGATGTTCATGAGCTTGATTAGAGACGAGATTCTTGAGATATCTCTAGGACCTCCTTTGGGTGCTCATGAGACCCAAATGCGCCGCAAGTGAGTCCCTTCAAGCCCAAAGCTATAACCTTGCTGAGAGAAATGCAGAGAGTTGAAGCGCCGCTGCGAGGAAAGATACGCTCAGATGCCTCACGAGTTGCGATGGCAGCCTGATGATAACGAACGCCATCGCTCAATGTCAGCCCTTCAATTCAGTCTGCAAATGGCACTCTATCAAGAATATAACTTGAACAAGTTTCCGATTGACCGCTTGCCTGATGAGGGAGCTTTTAACGTTAAACAAGATCTCGTGGATACCGCAAGAAAGATGCTTGACGGAATCCTTGTACTGTGTGCCAACAGGGATAAGCTTACGAACTATGCCATAGGATCTGTCTGTTCGGCGAGTTCTCCATACCGAGTTTTGTGGGTGTAGGCTAAATAAGACATCTAGATCGTCTACCATGGTATTCCATCAGCCGCGATACTAAGCGTTGAGCTATTGAAGCATTCTAAATTCCCTCAGGATTTGCGAGTATCTCTGCCACGCTCAGAGATCATCCAGAACCTGAGTATCTTCGTTGGCGCTTTAGAGTGGGTACGCCCTTCGGAAGGCAACTACACGCTCTGTGAGTTCAGCATGCACAGCTCGTCCATTCTGTGGCGCGAGTTGACCTCCTAGCTAACAAATCCTAAGGTATTCGCATGCGTAAAGTCATCAAGCGCATCTTGGATCAGGTCCTGGATATGCCGCCACCAAACTCGTGTCATTCAGAGAACAACGCTTTCCATGACCCTGCACCGCCTGATCTTGCTATATCTTCGATCTTGGGTCCACAAGACGAGCCCGACTTCCTGGAATGGCTCAATTTAGTGGACTGGACGAGGGGCATGCTTCCAGATGCATGGACATGAAGCACACAGACGCTACGCTTTGGCGAATTGTGCTTGGTAAAGAACACAGCCATACCCTGGGGACCCCTAACATATTGCCAGTCAGTTCTTACAAGGACTGGTTGGTTGATACATGACTGACGTCTCTACTTAATCTATAATCGCTCTACATTCCTCCTCGAACGTCTAGCTCATGGATCTCGTGATTCGTGTCTAGCTCATGGATCTCGTGATTCGCATCAGCCTCATGGGAGAGACCTTCGCCCATTTCGTGACCTCCGTCCCTTCCATCCTTCTCGTGAACCCTTCCACCCTTCTCGTGAACCCAGATACCTTGCACCGGAGGCACGTATGTCTCCGGTGGCGGCACAGCTGTCCCGCGCCTGCGCACGCAGAACAGCCATACTGCACCAGCAATAGCCAACGCGCCTACAACAAGCCCTACAGCTATGCCAGCCTTGGTTCTTCTCGGCAATCCGGAACCCGAAATGTCTTTTCGTCCGCTAGTGGCATCAGTGGGAGTTTCTGTGAGATTGCTGCTATTGCCGGTACCCGGAGTGCCTTTTTGTCCGTTAGTGGCACCAGTCGGCAGTGTTGTGGTAGTCCTATTAGTGTCGATATCGGAAAGTGCCGTCCAGTCTCTTGCCCAGGTTGCAGCAAACTTTTCGATAGGATCAGTACTGATCGGCGTGTCGTTCGGGCCGATAGGTATGATATTAGACGCTCCAACTCCCGGTCCGGGAGCTTGTGCCAAGAAAAACTTCTCCACTTGCCAATTGATGCCTATGAAGGCAGCCTGCAGAAACGCCTTACCCAGGACGTAATTGCCGGAGTGATCATTGGCATAGAATGGCCGGCATGGAAAGTATCGCTGAGTCGGAGTCACTATCGGCGCCTCCAGTGTGAGATTTAGCAATTGGAAGGGTACTTTGATGGTGAGATTGCCGTTTCCTGCGTTCTGGAAAACGAATGCAAGGTATGCGGGTGACTTTACGATTTTCTCGTACTGTGGGTCCGTCGTGTTCCAGATATAGAGTCCAACTTGCGAATTGAAGATTACAGGCAGGTTCTCAGTGACCGCAGCGCACGTCTCCGGGGACATGAACAAGTAGGGTACGATTGGGTTGATAATGGCCGGCTGCACCCCGTTGAAACTTGCGTTCAGCCTCAGCAAGCCGGTGTAGGAGCCCTCACTGAACGGCGACGATCCATTCTCAACACCAATTTGAACATCAAGCAAGTTCGCCATCATTGCTGAATTTGCAGCCAAGTCAAAATTTCCTATATCCCCTAAAGCCCTGCTTTGGTCGTACCCACCGAATACCAATGAGCCTTGCTGGCTGAGCGACGCTGATCCATAATGCAGTCCCCAGGAGTTACTAGCAACCGCACCCTGTGCATAGGCGGACCCTGGGACCGTCTGCCCGCTTGCAGTGGCACTGAATGACTGAATGCCCATGCCTGGCGCCCCCAATGAAAGGGTTCCCACTTGTGCTGAATAGTATGTCCCATCCGGCATTTCGATCTGCCAAGCCCTCACGGCGGAGATGGTACTGTTGTGAACAGCAAAGGCACCCTGCAGCGTCGGAATCATCATCGTATCCAACACGTTCACCGCCTCACCACCAACATTATCCACGACATTACTGCTCCACTGCCATACCAGGCCCACTGCATCTGTGATATTGTGCTGCGCGGTCTTCGAAGCGTCACACTGGTACAAACCAGCTTTTTCTGCTAAGCATTGACTTGAGCCATCGCCGAAGTTTGTGCCGTTGCTATTGCAAAAATATTCCCTGAGTATCATGGATTCCCATACTCCACCGGGATGGAGGTCGACGGTTGACTTGGGCTGGGTGCCTGCAGCGTCGTTGCTACCGACTTGGACAGTTATCACGGGCCAAGGACCGTCTGGACCGTAAGAGTGCGTTGTGTTCCAGGGTATGACGAGGGGAGTCGCATCACTGAAGGCGAAGGGAAGCCAGGTTAGGAAGGCGAGTAGAGGTAGTAGAGAATGCATACTATGGCGAAGGAGAATCACTAAGAGAAATAGGGTTGTTCAAGGTGTCGAAGATGATAGGAAATGATGGGCACGTCCAGCAGAATCAGGAGAGGAGAATAGATGGCAGGAAGGCAGATTGCAAAAGGCGTTCCGTTCCGCGCACACGCAGCAGCAGGCCAGCATCACCGTGCCTACCTCCCTTCATATCTCCGTTCTGAATTTTACGGAGCTTTGATGCAGGGTTGTGTGTCGAAACACTGTGTCGTATACCTGGCTTATTTGCTGCACGGATGCGCAAGGGTGACGGAGAAAACGTTTCGCTTAGGTTCGGCTCATCCGTGTGGGTGCCTCCTTCGTGTGGGTGCATCCTTCGTCCGTGAAGGTGCAGTAGTGCTGAATTAAAGATATGATCTGCCAAATCTGCTCAACTTGCTCAGGCTGAAGCCTACGGGGTATCGACGTGGAGGAGCCATGGACTGGCAAATTTTCAAAAGTGATCGCCGCGGACTAAAAATAAATTCTCGGTTTCGTCTGGTAGCAATCCTCGAAGCTTCAGCTTGCCCACGCCCCTCTCCTCTCCGCGCGCACGATCTTGAATGCGTGGGCTGGGCGGTTCTACCTCTATACCCAAAAATGAATTTGCAGGGCTTACCAGTCTGTAATGGACCTGTGGGAGTTGGTTTAAATGACCATTCGTCTTGATTTCCTCCTGTATCATGGTCCTCACTCGTGATGATTTGGGACTGAAGTTTAATCATCACGGTCGCATGGTATTCCTCGCTCTCGACGATTATCATCTGAACGTGGTGGAGCGCTGACCCAGGTCCTAGCTTGAATCAAAACCCATGCTAGCACACGAAAGTGAACGTATGGTATCGAGGCTTAGAACATAGCGCTTGTTTTGCTGATTCGACTCCCGGAATGTCCGAAAGTCTTACCATTGCATTTTAGAAAGCACACTGGTCCGATTCCCAAAATACTCGACAAACTGACCAGCGCAGGAAAGAAGAGGAAGCGTATCTACCGTGTCCGATCCAAAACTGACAATCGCACTTCTATCTCGTTAAGAAATGTCTACTCTCCTCAGATATCACTGCGTTCTATCTCAGACCAAGCAATTTATATACGAGTCTGCCATAGTGTCACCAGCCTCAAAGGCTGAAACAAGATAAACGTACCAAACACTTTTTAGTCCCACTTGACTAACCACAACTGCTTCACTTGCGTCCCAGAAAAAGGCAGATATCCCGCAATAACCCCCCCGGGACACCCATTCCCACAATCCCACCCTCCCGGACCGTACTCCTGTGGCGGGTTTCCTCCACCATCTAGAATCATCACATCCCCCGCCCTCGAGTTAACACCGCACCAATACAAATCCTGCGGGCTGTTCGTCACCCTCGCTTGATTCGTGATGCAGTCCGCTCCACAGATCGTGGCGGCGCAGTCGTAGCACGTGCTGACCTCGCCGTGGAAGAAGGTCCAGAACGCCGCACCGTAGAGAAAGAGGTTGGAGCCACCGTCTGGTCGCCGCCTAATTTCGTATCACCCTTTGAATCTACAGCAATCGGGTTGCCACCGTCATGAGACGGGTTCTCAATAACGATCTGGTTATTGCGATCGCGACCATCGTTGGACGAATCATGATATTTGATCACCGGGCCCGAATTCGTCGATGTTGAGTCGAGGATAATAATTGAGCCTGGTGGTCCCCCACTACCGCCATCTATACCAAGGCCGCAGGTGTCAAATTTGGCATGCTGAATGACTGCGACAAATCCGCCCGTGACGGAAATCCCCGTGGTGCACTTTGAGAAGGAGATGGATTTGAAATTGACTTGCTGGTCCGAATTGCGGATACCCACGGCGCCTCCAACGATAGTCTGCAGCAATTAGCAACGACTCAATGAATCATCAGCCGGGGTTGACTTACAACATCCGTAACAGCCGTGGTGGAACCTTGGTCCAATGCAATACCAATATGACCTTTGGAGTCGGTCGGCATGTTGATTTTGATATTGGTAAGCTGGCACGCTTGAGCAACTCCCCATTGCAGAGCAAGAACAGTAGTATCAGGTGCAACACTCGTGGTGTCAATGATGATGTTCTTCATTGCAATGAAGAAGGCTGTGGTCCCTGACGAGTCATGAGTCGCATAGCCGTAACCGTTCACTACAGTGCCTCCATTGAAATCGGACGATGCTTCGAACGTCGGCATATTGTTGGGGTCTCCGACGAGGATGGTATGCAGTCGCAGGTCCAACTGTTTGGTGAATTTCTAGGTCCCGCCCGGGACAAACACCTCCGCTGGACGAGTGGTTACTTCGTCGTTGTAGCGACTCCCGCCGTTCCCGTCATTGTTGATAGCGTTTTGCAAGTTCTGAGTGTCATCTGCGTTGCCGTCCCCGACTGCGTTGTACGACTTCACGTTACGGTAAACGGGATAGGTGAAGTCACCAGGAAGGAATGGAGCGTAGCCTCTGGCAGCTCCGGTGTGATCTTGCTGATCTAGCCAATAGTCTGTTGGATTGCTACGACAGACCCGCCGCAGGATGCTACTTTGATGGGAGAAGCGGGCTGAAGCACAGCTTGATCAAGAGGACTATCCTTCCTCGCTAGGAAATAAGGTCTGCTGGGTGAGGACTGGACGGTGGCAGCTACAATGCCGGCAACGATGAGCGTCGTTATGCGCCATGAGAAGTTGGAAAAGCTAGGCATTGTGGAGCGTTTGTTCAAGTAAAAACATTTCTGCAAAGGTTCCTGCTTGGTAGAAGATTGAGAATGATTCTGGACGATTAGAGCATTGAGGGACAAGAGATCATGAGCCGAGGTCGAGAGAAAACATGACGCTCACATGCACTGCTCAAATGAGCGGCGCTTTCAAGCTTTTGATCGTTGAGTACCGACAGCTTTCCCAGTTGGACCCAGCTTTCCAAGCCTTGCCAAGGGGCAATTAAATCTGAGCGCAGAGAAACTCGCAACTTGATTCCAACATTCATGCATTGTGAGCATGTCTATGTGTATGCTTTCCAGAGCGCTTTTGCAGTCTTTGCTTCCAGACCGCTGCCGCTCGGCCTCACTTGGGTAGTAAGACTGGGATGAAGCTGAATCCCAGCCGCAGCGAAGGATTGGCGAAGCATCCTTCCGTCACGGCGGTTCGATCCTCTCACTCAGCTGCGCCCTGCGTCCTCACGTTCATGAGCAGTGGCCTCTTTTTTGAGATTCAGCTAGGAAGAAAGTGGAGTCAGGGTGGAGAAGCTCGCCGAATAAATTACTAGCTTACCTACAGCAGAAGCGTCATGAGATTCATGAAGAATGCATCTAGTGAGCCACCGAGTAAACGCGAGATAGTGAATGCGTTGTCAGCAGGTGCTGCGTTGCGTATAATACATTGTCAGTCTCGTAACTAGTATAAGCGTTTCGCAAGAAGAATCGCATGGCCTTTGTCTAAGAGAGATAGCTGCAGTGGCTGTTGGTATATTATACTGCTTCAAGTAAAGTTGGGCGAGAATACAATGATGTTTCCAAAGTAAAGATAGATGATCAACATTCACACTTCTCTCACCCTGCTCTCCGCCGCCTTTTCCAGCTTCACGTGTCTAACAGAAAGTACTATCTGAAATTCGCCTTGTCTTTTGCTTGAGACCATTGCTAATGACAAATTGCCAATAGACCTCAATTCAGCCATCCAGGGAGCAGCCACGGGGTGCTTCAACCCAGCCAGTGAGGCGGTTGGCGATGTCTGAGCTGTAGCAGTGTGTCGCAATGCCCTTGCAGAGGTCACCGGAGCCGTCGACCGCGCCTGAGTTGTAGAGTCTCGTCGCAATATAAAATGCCGTGACATCATCTTTGTCGGATTCGTTGATGCACTGAGCCAGGCCATCGCCGTCGTTTGTACCAGCGGAGCCCTCGCGAACCATGCGAGTCACAACATCTTGGGGACAAGGATTTTGCACTACACCAGTAATATCGCTGTTACAGGTAGCATTGCCGTTGTGGTCCTGCATAAGGCCAGGGTTGCGAACGCCATAATTTGATGTGGGTACGCGAACGCAGCCGCCCGACTCTTGCATGATGATGGCGAGGATGAAGCGATGGTCAACTTTGGTCTCAACAGCAACTTGTTGGATTGCGTTGTAGATGGATCCAACCTCGGGTCCATCGTCATTGGCTTGTGAATACTGAGAGCAAGAGGAGAACATGATTTGCTTGTTGTCATTGAACCTGGGCAGATCGTTGTCAGTCAGTGGTCTCCTTGTTCAGCCAGTAGTCTCGGCCACATCAAGACGTTCTAGAAGGAGTTCGTACATATTCTCAAACGATACCCACGCAGAACGAGGGGGAAACTCGGAGCCATCGCCGCAGTATTGGGTGTAGCTGTCCTTACCCGCTCCCACACCATCCGTGTTGTTGATTGAAGAGACGGCAATTGCTCCGTTAGAGACCTGGCCACCAGTCGCAAGAATGTGCTCGTATGACGTGTGCTTGGACTGAAAGTTGCCTTTGCGATTGCTAAAATAAGGATCGTGGGAGGATGCAGGTTGTATCATTTCAGTGTTGAGACGAAGGCTTTGAACACCGTTCTCGCAAACATAGGGGCAAAAGGACGTGCCTGGATGACCGAGTATTGCCTGCCCCGTTGAACTCTTCGAGCATCTGTCAATTCATATCAGCTGCTTTCCTGCACCAGAACAGGCACTGGAGATGATTCACTCCGCTCTGCAGGTGAAGGAGCTGAGATCTCGTGGCTGCTCCAAGAAATTTGGAGGCCCCATGATACCTGCCTGGACTTGCTGGAGACATGCTCGGAAAACCAGAGCAGACACGAAGCTCTGGTAATTTGCCATCGTAATACGAAGTGTTCAGTTTTTGTAGAAATATAGAAGGCCAATGATAGTGATTTCAACGTGATCTTTGTACTTTTGGGTATGGACTTTGCAGCAGCGAGATGAGACGATTTAAAGGAGAACGCCGAGGCTCAATATTTCTTTGCGGGTCAAAGCTAATGGACTTCATCGGCCTTGGAACCTTACCAAATTTCATTGCCGATGCTTGCCGAGGGCGAGAAAAACGTTTTGGTCGCCTGCTGACCGTAGATCGACATGCATGATGCATCTCCGATGGCGTACAGTAAACGCAGACTTTGATCATATGCCAAGATGATGGTCTGGTCTGGTGCTTTACGCCTTCATGACTCCAGCAGAAGCTGTGAACGGGATTGTTTCTCCGCATGACGCAGACAAAATTTGTCTGGTACGGCAAAGGAAGCGAGGGCTATGAGTCTCAGCAGCTGACTGCGACAGAACCAAGCAGCATCATTTTGTCTCAAATCTTTAATCTTTTTCGCAAGCTACCCGATTCAATAGAAATTGGTGGTGCCCGTCTGCAGGTCTGATCATAGGCGTCCTTCCACGCCCTGAACTGATTTCCCCAATAGGAACGAGATCGAGCCCATGGACTGTAAAGTGTTTTGAGTAAGCCAGGTGCATGAGCGACGAGTCGATATGTAGACCGGGTCAAAAGCTGAAGGAAAAGAAAGAATAATAAAATAGGAGGGGAATTGATTTACTGCGCGCTTATTAGCTCATCGCGTTACTAAGCTTTCGGTCCACTAGCGTACATCTGGAGACTTGGCGTCATTACTTACTGTCAACTTGGGCATGTGCTCTGCTCAGCTCTCGATGGCTTCAGATAATCCGTGCGCTCCATGGGAGCCTGGCACTGAGGCTCGCATAACCAGCCTGGTAAACCATGCACGGGATCGATGCCTTGCTTGGGCCACCAACGAAGGATGAATCATCGACCACTCACGGCTGCACGAGATGAAGGGTCTGAGAGGGCGTTGAAGCTTCGTCATGGGGGACGATGTAATTACTCGCGCTCATACCCCATTTGTATGCCTGGTGAGGGCATTGCCACTGGATTCATGTGGTGAAAATAGTATACTGGGCTGTACGAATCCTTTGGGATTTTACACCGCCCCAGCGTTTCATACTTGTGGATTTCAGCTTTCCTCCGAAAACTTTGAAGGACGTGCAACGTGAACACGTATGAGTTTTTTATGTAGAAGTTTATGAGCATATAAAATCATCAAGCCTTCCTGCTAATCGATTTCCACGTTTTACACTGGAGAACTTGAGACTGCGAACAATTATCGACATCCTAGAAAGATGGCGGGCCCAAAGTCTGTATTCGCGCATTTCATTGTAAGCCATGCGGACGCCAAGATGATTGAAGACGCCTTACTGACCTGCTCAAGGTTGGCAATGCCAACGCCTACGGCCAAAGCGACTGGGTAGGCGACATGCAATTGGCGCAAGCCGCCGGTATCGACGCATTTGCCCTCAACGTCGGAGCCACCGACCAAACAACCACGACTCAAGTACCACAAGCATACGCTGCGGCCGCACAAATCCGATTCAAAGTCTTCCTGTCCTTCGACTACGCAGCGCAGGGACCTTGGTCGTCCCAGGCTGTCGTCAACACTATCCGTACTTACGCCAACAGCCCAGCTCAATTTACGGTGAATGGGTTGCCACTTGTATCCACATTCGAAGGGACAGCAAAGGCCAGCGATTGGGCCACAATTCGCCAATCGACTCCACTGTTTCTCGTTCCAGAGTGGACGAGTATTGCGCCTAATGACTTCAAGTCATCTGACGAGCAATATGTCGATGGTGTCTGTAGGTCGTCGACTCTCATCTCGTTTCTGGACCCCAGTGTCATAGACTAAATCGCCCACTAGTCAGCTGGGACGCATGGCCTCAGGGCGCCGTTGACAAAACCGATGACTCCGATTTAGCTTGGCAGTCAGCCGCAGCTCCCAAGGCCTACATGATGCCAGTGTCTCCGTGGTTCTATACCAACCTGCCAAAGTACGGCAAGAATTGGGTCTGGCGAGGAGACGACATGTGGCACAATCGCTGGCAGCAGGTGCTCCAAGTGCAGCCTCAATTTGTAGAGGTGAGCATCTCAGAATTTCGTTGCAGCTCTGCACCTGCCTGAACTGAAAAGGAGATTGACGTGATAGATTCTTACCTGGAATGATTATGGTGAATCCCATTATATTGGCCCCATCAAAGAACAGGGTATCCCCCAGGGGGCGCAAATTTACGTGAACGATATGCCCCACGACCACTGGCGCGATCTTCTCCCCTATTACATCCAAGCCTACAAAACTGGGCACCCTGGCATCACGAAAGAGAAGCTTCACTTTTGGTACCGTCTCTCACCCGCCGCCGCGGGCTCCAGCGACGGTACTGCAGGGAACGCGCCTTGGCAACCATCCACAAGTCCCAATGTCGTTGTCCAGGACAAGGTCTTCTTCACCGCACTCCTTACAAGCCCTGCGACAGTGACGGTGCAGATTGGAGGTAACGAGACAGATATCCTTTCTTCGAATGCGGTCGGAGCGTTTCATTCGTCTGTGCCATTCAACGGGAGGACTGGAGCCGTGACGGTTAGCATTGTGAGGGGCAGCGATGTCGTGGTCAACGAAGTAGGCCCAGCTATTACGAACAGTCCGCCCAATGGCTTGACGAACTACAACGCTTGGGTTGGAGGTTCTGGATGATGCTCACAGTTTGAGCCGAGAATACCGAATTTTTTTGCAAGCACTACGGGCAAGGACCCGGACACGAACTTTCCAATTAGTATATTCGATGAGCATGGGCAGTGCTCGTCAGGCCAGGGGCCTTGAGAAATCGACCAAAAACATCATCGTGGCGAATTCTTTGCCGTTGGAAGTTTTCTTTAGAACAACCATAACTAAAAGTAATATATTATAAGTTTCATGCCCCAAATCGACGTACAAAAAAAGGAAACCAGCGCCTCACGTTGCCACTTTTCCTTGCAAGCTCGCGGTCACCAATCTTGACAGTAGACATGATAGAAGAGCGAGGAGTCAAGCACTCAGACCTTCGACCTCATTTGAATCGAAGTAGTCGGATCTACTCACAGGTGTCCCCCCATCACCTGGAAAGCCAGGCGAATTAGCATTCGATCTCGCCAGTCTAGCTAGCCCGCAGAGGATGACCTTACAAGCGTGCGGGTTCAGACGCAGAGTCAATGTTTGCCAAGCTCGACGCCACCGGTCAAATTGTACGTGGGGCACCCGCTGCTAGGGTATGGTATGAGAGACGAATAGACTTACAGCATGAGTGACCACTCTTGTTGAAATATGCATGTGTGTGTTCCTACTCAGATGGGGGCTTAACCTTAATCCTCTGGTAGGGGTCACCTAGGCCTTCCCTCAGGCGATTGGACGGTTATATTGGATTGAGTACTTAGCATGTAGCTGAGATACATATATATCAACTTGAGTACCCTCATGGCGAGCCTAGCGTATTTGTTCTAGGCACACATTCATCGATCCTAGTCAGGATCATCATGGGAGTGGGAAGGACAGTAGCGTCCGATGAATCGATGTTAAGGCTCTATTGGATCCCCGTGAGATGAAAAGTACCAACGGGGTCTTAACGCACGTCCATACCGCATGAATGGCGAAGGTTCAACGATCTTAGTTTTCAAACACTGCAGGTAAGGGGGTTGAGACGTCCCGGCAATGCTAGGAAACCTCATGCCGAGAGAACTAGAAGCCGACGACGTGGTATCTAGAATAGACCGAATCGACTCGCGCAGCGTAGGAGATAGTACTGACGGTCGCAATCGATAGAGAACTTGTATATCTTCGTAGAACGGACAGTCGCGGATGATCGAATACTCCACCATCTCGAATCCCCCGCCCAAGATCTTGCCCCATGTCGAAGGGCGAGTCGAATCGAACCAGACAGCGCTCATTTCGAACGGGCGCGAATGATGCAGAGGACGTCTTCCGTTCTTGGGTTAGACTAGTAAACACAAGCTCCCGGGGGTTAGATCTTCTGGCTTTGCAGACCGCTGAAGCAGCCGCGGATACGTCACCCACAGCTTGGTCTTGAGGGCACGAAATGTTTGAGCACAGCTTATGGGTTCTTTGGGAACCAGACTAGTATAGTACAATAAGCTGTTTTCTGACGTGTGGAAGTGGAACCATCAAACCTCTTGGTGGGTAGTATCTTACAGCTTACGTTTGCAGTCAATGCAGTTGAGGATTAACACATATCTCAAAGTATTCTTCGTTAACAGAAGAATTTTCATGAAGATAAAGAAGAAGGGCATGCTAATAGCCCCCCCCCCCCCCAAACAAGGGTTTCTCACCTGGTGTAAATTCTGGAATAAACATCGGTGTTACTTCACACATGATTTTCTCCCAACCTCCATCGCCAGAAGGCTTTGGACACATAATTGACATTCGATTTCAGGTCACTGCCGTGTACATGGAAGGGCCTCTTGGCGCTGACGCTGCTGTTGTTTATATCCGGAGCGGCGGCTAAATGCCTTACTTTCCGGGTAGGCGCAAATTCGTGGTATGAACGTCATCGAGGACCGTTTGCGAAGAAGGAGGCGTTGATCCGCGGGAAATGGAAGCAAAGTTGCCAGATTGTTTGGATACCGATAAGAAATAATTCCTCAAGCCGACTAGAATCCTGATGTACTCTACGCATACTACATTCATAGCGAGCTTAAAAGCATGATCATGCTCGCTGCCTTCCCCTGAGATTTTTATATAAAACAATCACCAAAAGCTATACACAGCCCTCCGGTTCTCTTCGTTCAGTGCCCTTTACCCTTAGAGACTTCCACAACTCGCAATCACTACCTTCGAATTCGGCGTCCCATCAGGTGACCCAACACTCTCAATAGCATCAACAAATTCTTTGCCCTCAATCACCTCACCGAAAACGGTATGCTTGCCGTTGAGATGAGGGGTGGGAACAGTGGTGATGAAGAACTGCGATCCGTTGCTACACGAATTCCGAACTCAGCATTCCCAGGGCTAGCACATGGAAGCGGAATCAAGAGGGTTTAGGGCTTGACGCACGTATTAGGCCCTGAGTTGGCCATTGAAAGCAAATAAGGCCGATTATGCTTGAGCTCAAAGCTTTCATCTTTGAACTTCTCACCGTAGATAGATCTGCCGCCGGTACCCTGTATCACAAATATGGAACCGTTAGCAAGCTGGTGCACACAATGCATAATGAGGCCTCAAGTAGCATCACCACCTCGACTGGCAAGAGATTTCACCCGACATAAATCAGAGCAGTGCACATACATTACCCCTCGTAAAATCCCCACCCTGAAGCATGAACCCGGGGATAATCCGATGGAAGCTACTACCCTCATAGCCATACCCCCTCTCATTCGTGCAAAGAGCGCGGAAGTTTTCGGCGGTTATTGGTACGTCGTTGTTGAAGAGCTTGAAGACGACTCTAGCCGGTGGGCCTGAGCAGGTCAAGGGGTTAGAGCTGGTATGGATTGGTTGAAGAGACATGGGTGGGAAGCGGCTTTACCATTGTTCACAGTGAGGTCGAAGTAGACCTTATAGGACTTTGGAGCAGGGTCTGGAGGGGCAGATGACATGCCAGTGGAGGCGATGCCGGTCGTTGGGTTGGTGGTGGACTGGGCCGGTTGCCGGTAGGTAGACTGCGATGGCTGAGAGCTTCCTGTGCCATTCCATTCCTTCAGTATCGTATGATCGAGAAGTTGGGACGAAAGCACGTTTACAAGCGAAGGAAAACTTGAGGGAGAAATTACCCGCTTGGCTACTATCGCCCTTGTTTTTGCGCTTGAGTTTGTCTAGGAGCCCCATGATGGCTAATGTATGGGTCTTATATATTTTCGAATCTATAGACTTTGGGCGAATTATGTCTGGATTTATACTGTTTTGAAGAGGTGAAATGTTGATATTTCCAAAGATGAGCTGGAGACAAAATCAGGGAAACAGCAATGATGCGCATGTGGCTGAGCTAGCGTTACACCAAAAAAGTGTAAAGGGGAGGTGGGCCTGCCAGTTAAGTACTCCAGTTTGGTGCACATACGACGGATGTCTTGAGCAGTAAAACCCTGCCATCATGGCATTGCTGCTTCTATGCGGAATACATTCGAGAGCTGAGGTGGTGAGGAACCATAGATGCATGAACGTTCTGCTTGCAGGGCGGCGCTTTTTGGATCGTGACTAGGACAGGACCCCTAGCTAAACACACGGCATTGAAGTCACGGGAGTTTCCTTGCTGTCAGCTCAGGCTACTATTAAAACCACGATACACAAATCACATAATCATACAATTTGACGAATTGTTCGCCACAAACGTTGCGACCTTCGCTCCCTTTCGCACTCCCTTGGCAGTGGATTTGTACTCGCTGCCAATCCTATCTCCAGGCGTACCTGGAAATGTGATCTTCGACATGTTCAATAGCTGCGTGGGTAGCTCTATTGGCGGTGAGGAGGTGTGCAGACCGCATACTTGAATTTGCATGGTAAGTGGTTGCTGGGACAATTGCGCGGCGGATATCATGATGGCGTTCAATTGGCGAAGATTCGTTTCGGAGACTGGCCCGCGAATATGAGAGGAGCCGTCTCTGAAAGAGACGGCGAACTGGTTTGATTGGCTGGGTGAGAGGGTGATATTCTGTTCTGTTAGCAAGTCAAATGACCCTTATGCACCCTGGAAATACGCTGGAGCTGCGAACTTACATCGACGCCCAACTTGCCATGCCTTCTCAGCAGCTCTTCCAACCTCTGATACTCAGAATCCAAATTGCAGCTGCTATTTCCGTCACGCCATTGAGCAAACCACGTCTTTTTAACCCCTAATGTGACCAACGTTGGCGTACGGCTTGGCTGTTCTAAATCGATAAGTCTCTCCAGGCTTGGAGGTATCGAGCTCCAGGCTGCACGAGCAGCAGGGAATGTGGCGAAATAGTTGCCATTGGGACCAATCGACACTTTGGTCTGTGCCATATCCCAGGGTTTTGATGCATGGAGTCGAAGCCATGATTCTAACCTGTCATAGGCGGCCTGTCGTGCAGTCCCTAAAATCACCATTAGGTTTTTCCGTAGAAAGGGAACGGGACTTGAAAGATGCATGATTGGGTAAAATGATGGAAACGAACATGACTTACAGAAAGAACCATGTTTCAGATATGGATCTTTCTCTCGCCTTGTGATCCATTTCATTTGCCCATCTATGGCTTGGTACCCAAAGAACCAGTCAAGGCTTGGCCCTAAAGTAACACACAAGGGGCGGTTGACATCCGTGAGCTCGGGAAAATCGTTGGTTGCACGCGTCCAACTATACAGACAAGAAGATATGAGAAGATGGAATCACAGCAACGAGAAGACGTGGACTTACATTACGGAGGAGAGTGGTCTCTCAGGGGAATAGAAGTAGAAATCACCTGTGAAGCCAAAACAGAAGGTCAAATCTGACATGTCGGCTTCGAAGAGGGGCAGCAAGACTTATTCAATGCTCAAGATATAAGACATGATCATTATGATATTGTCCTCCAACCTGTTAGCGCAATCTCTACACTGCTGCTCCGCCTCACCGGGTCAGATTGAAGATACGTTGGTAGCCTGATGCCTTTTTTTAGAAACCATTTGCCGTGTTCCATTTTATATTCTAATGCATAATTTTATGCACATTTCTTACATGTGTGTAATGTACATACATTACTTGTACGAGTATTTTTGTAGACGAGATCTTATCTCTTGGCAATGAAATACTTGGTCTTGGCATGGATCGACAGCCAATCCATTCCAATCTTCAAATTTCGCATACCAGCCCCTGCAGCTGACAGCCCCTATTTTGGTCTATCACCGCCAGGAAGGGTGTGAAGGGGGGAAGGGGGGTTTCAGTGGAGTCGAGCTCCTTATCTCTTCTTCTTCTCATCACTGTCACTCCTTCACAGCGTTGCATAGAACCACAGCTCTTCAGTACCACCACACTCCTTACACAGGTCACACAAGGTCACACAGGGTCACACAAGGTCACACAAGACCAAGAACGGTTATACATAGTCAAACACGGTCACAGACGTCTCGGAAGTCTCACGATGTCGCTCCTTCTAGCATCATGTCTCACACTCCTCCCCTACCTGTTGAATCCAGCTGTCGCGCAGACCTGGACATCCTGCAATCCTCTCAACGGCACCGACTGCCCTCATGACCTAGCCCTCGGCACATCGAATGCCTCCTTCACCCTAAATTCTACCTCGTCCTTTGAATCTTCCCTCTGGAACACCACTGCCGGCGCCTTAACTTACAACTCCTCAGGCGCCGCCTTCACTATCGCCCAAAAAGGCGACGCTCCCACAATTCAAAGCAAATTCTACATTTTCTTTGGCGAAGTCGAGGTCTGGCTCAAAGCCGCCCCGGGTCAGGGGGTGGTCAGCAGTGTGGTATTGCAGTCCGATGATTTGGATGAAATAGATCAGGAATTCATCGGCAACAACAATACCCACGCCGAGAATAATTATTACGGGAAGGGCAACACGACCGATGCATATGAGAGGGCGAAATGGTATCCTCTACCCGACGGTGGGAGTCCGACCGAGGGGTATCACAACTACACGACACGGTGGACGAATGGGAGTTTGGAGTGGTATATTGACGGTTCCATTGTGCGCACGCTGGCGTATGCCGATGCGAATGGAGGAGCGAGCTACCCGCAGACACCCATGAACGTCCGCATAGGCGTCTGGGCCGGCGGGGATAACGAGAATAGTAATTACACCATACAATGGGCTGGCGGGGAGATCGATTACTCCAAGGGCCCGTACACGATGTTCGTGCAATCGGTCCGCATAACTGATTACTCCACTGGCTCTGAGTATAAATACGGAGATACAACCGGCACCTCGCAATCCATCCAGAGCGTCCCCGGTAACTCTACGGCCCTAAAAATCCTCACAGCCCCACCTCCCGAGAGCGTCACCCAGCGCTTCAACGGCCTCTCCCACGGCGCGAAAATTGGTATCTTCAGCACCGTCGTCGCTGCTATTGCAGTCTGCGTCGGGATGTGGGCGCTCTGTTGCGTCAAGCAAAGGAGGGCTGGGAAAGCGGAGAGGAGGGTAGCAGACGCCATGTATGAGAAGGATACGGCGGAGTTGATGGCATATCGCGCAAGGATGGGGAAAGGTGGGTATGCGAGTGAGAGAGAGATGGAGGATGAGTTCTGATAGAACCTGTGGCCACAGGGGTTTAATATGGAGGAGCCATAATGTCAACAGCATTTCAACTGGGAGCTCGGAGGACCAACCTGTAGCTGGATCTAAACGGGTAATATAGAGCTGCCTTTTAGATTTATGATATCAATGGCATCGTCTTGTGGTGTGATTGGTTCTTTGACAGCTCCGCTGTTGCCGAAGTCCTGCAATCATGGCTGATATCCACTGCTGTAGTTGAGAAGGTGGTAAAGCGCTAGATGAACACTCTTTACTGACATATCGACAAGGGTCATTTCCAACCTTCGCTATAAGCATTTACTACTGTCTCTCGATTCCACAACCCGAAAGGGTAAAGACAAGGTCACATGCAAGGGGGGAATAACGAATCATGTTATAGCATACAGACAAAAGCGCTCTAAGATGGAACGACTGATAGTCCCGAAGGCGAGCAACCTAAGTCCTTCAGCATACGACGGGCAATTTTGACTGGTATGGCAAGTACTATACCTGAGTCATGGATTACGACTGGCGATCCGATGTGATTGGCAACGGGCTGGCAATGTCCGAGATGGATGACCCTACATAATACGAAGGCGAGCAGTCTTATGTGCGTCTACACAATGACTACTGCAGCATTCAGAGCTCAACAACACGTCAGTAATATAGATTTACAATCTAGTGTTTACAAAGTCAGGATGACTGCTTTAGCACCATGGCAAAAAGCCAGGCAAACTAAGTTCCTCAAGTCATGCATCTACAGCAGTCAAAGGCAGGTATTTAATCTTTCATCAACAAATACTCTGGGATAGCAGGCAGTCAAGTCCTTCAACGATTACTACATATCAGAATTGGTATCGTCCAGGTTAGATGACTCTACAATGCGGCATTTGACCGGAGAACTTAGCTGGCATTGAGGCTAGCACGACCACCACGGCTTCTTCATTTTAAAGCGAATGGTGATACGACAAGAGCGAAGCGTGAGTGGCTTCAATTTGTTAGTATATGCGGACTAGCTTTATGCTAATGGGCTTCTGCACAGACTCGGAGCATTTATTAGGTTCCAATTTAAACACCAACGTGGTCAATACTATCGAATGAGAACGTGCTTGCGGAGGTAGAATAAAGGCTTGATGATATCTTGAAAGTATATACATATATTTCAGCACCCAGACATGTCCGCAGGGTCAGCTTTGTTGTTCATGCAAGACATCATGCCGTGCATAGCTATTTAAGCTGAATTGAGCACTAGTGTGATCAGATCATTCTCAGCCTCGGCGGCTTTCCTTGCTATCTCTCTTATCTGTTGTTTCAGCTTCCATCCATCCTCCGATGCATGTGGCAAATTCAACCTCGCTCTGAGCTCCCAGGTTCTTCCACGGCTGTCAGCTTTCCGTCTACGCCATCATTATGATGCACATAAACCAAAGCAATCATGGGTGATCCACTTTCCATTGCTGCAAGTGCGGCGGGGCTCGTCTCCTTAGGCCTGACAGTGTGTTCTGGTCTCCTCGACTACTACAGCGCGTGGAAAGACCAGCCTTCTGACGTCTCCGAAATGTGCGAATCTTTGGTAGCTCTCAACAAGACGTTCGACATGCTGAACGAGAGGGTCCGCCACCCTTTACTTGACCCCAAAAGCGTCGATCGAGTCACAGAAAGCATCATATCTTGTGCTGCCGGGGTTCAGGGATTACGATCTAAGTTGGAGAAGATCCGTAATGCTAAGCCAGGTTAATACCTATTCGATGCTTCAGTCTAGCTCGTGAAACGTGTTTTGGGAGCGGGAAATGTTTTTTCTCTAAGCATGCTTTAGAGATTTATCTTACCACTCCATTGTGTGTCAAGAGATGGAGCTTTTCCCCCTTGCCCTACTTCCAGATTCGTCCCACAATCCGGCTGCATATTATACTATAGATATCCTTCCTCCATACGACGTTCTCTAGACATCTCTCATTAATTGAGTCTCTCTATCGAAAACGGCACGCTGACTCCGCACTTATCATCAGGTATGAGCGCACGTCTCCAAAGAGCTCAGTATCCATTTCAGCGAAAAACGCTGGAGAAGCTGCTGCGGATGATCTCGGATCTTCGAAGCAATCTGAGTCTGGCAACGAACACTCTTCAACTTGATATCTCTACAACGTCACTTGATCGATTGAGTCAAGTAGATACAAGCATAAAGAAGCTAATCGACAACTCCGAAGTCTCCAGTACGAAGATTCTTGACAGCATTTCGGATGTGCACCTCAATCAGGAGCAAGAGAAGTTGCGAGCACTTAGTTCCGAGGAACAGGATGTAATGAAATGGCTCTCTCCCCTAGAATTCTTCTCCAAGCAAAGCGATGCTCTGAGTAGACGTCAGAAAGGCACTGGTCGATGGCTGCTCGAGTCTACCGAGTTTCGCTCTTGGGTTGGTACTGCTGGAAGAGTCCTTTGGTGCCCGGGAATGCGTGAGTAATGCTTTCTATGATTTGAACCGAAGCTAGAGGACAACCTGCTGACTAAGGAACAGCTGGTGCGGGTAAGACTATCCTAGCGTACGTTGTTCTGCCATTCGAAAAGTCTCCGCTAAAATATGTTTCCTAGATCAATGGTCGTTGATTACCTTGAACAGGGGCACAGACGGGGGACTACTGGGGTTGCCTATGTCTTTTGTGTGCACAACAGTGGAAATCAGACCGCAAGCAACTACCTCGGAAGCTCGCTACGACAACTCGCCATGCAGAGTGCTGCAATCTTGGAGGATATCAAGTCATGTCATAGGCATCATACTCGATACGAGACCCGTCCTTCTCTCAATGAGATTGCTAGGCTACTACGCTCACAGGTCGAAAAGTTTGATGAAGTGTTCATTGTGATCGATGCTCTTGACGAGTGCCCTGAACAGGACCAAATTCGAAAGTTTTTTCTCGCCGAGCTCCGTGCTTTGGTACCTAAAGTGAGCCTCATGGTTACTTCGCGAGATATGCCGTCTATCGAGAACATGTTCAAGCACGACATACGCCTTGAGATTCGCGCGCAAGACCAAGACATCAGGGCATTCATCAAGTCACAGATAGAGCAGCGAGATGGACTGGTCGATCTCCTTGAAGGCCATAACGATGTGCGATCCAGAATAATTGCGACAGTACTGGAGAAGACAAATGGCATGTTAGTCAGTCAATAGGTCTCCATCGCTTCCAAGCTCACCAAAAGAAAGGTTCCTGATTGCAGCCTTGCACATGGATTCTCTTGCCAAAGAAGACAATATTCGTGAACTCAAGGAAAGTCTTCAACGCCTGCCCGTGGATCTAGATAAGACATACGATGACGCGTTAGAGCGAATCCAACAACAAGACTCTCGAAAAGTAGCTCGAGCTGATCAGGTCTTGACGCTTATCAGTTGCGCAAAACGACCTCTGAAGCTGGAAGAGATGCGACAAGCTCTGTCCATCCGTAGAGGTGATACCTTTCTAGACCCAGACGCTTTACCTAAAAGCGAGTCATTTATTTCGACCTGCTGTGGCCTCGTGGTTGTGGAAGATGAAAGTCAGATCATTAGACTGGTTCACTATACCACCGAAGAGTACTTCAAACGTAAAGTACAACGATATCGCAGCCCAGAAGCTCATGAGTATTTCGCTGGTATTCTCATTACCTATCTCAGTTTCACAACATTCACAACCTTTTCTCTGGGCAAAGTAGTTGAAGACGCTACGAAAGAAGCAGCAGCAAGAGACGCCAACGTTCCAATCAATTGGGGCGAGGAGCGAACGGCGGTAGAAAACTACATTGAAAGCCTCTTGAAGAGCAACGTCTTAGTCCACTACGCTGCAGAGAATTGGGGTCACCATACACGCGATGCATTAACTCACATCGGAGATAGTCCAGAATCTTGTCACGCCACTATCGATCCCCATAACAGCGAGCTGGACAACCTATGGAATCTCAAACGAATGGTACAGGAATTTCTTGAGAAAGAGCATAATATTGCATGTGCCTGTGAAGTTTTTCACCAGATCCAGAATCAGCTCGACCATTTCACTGTAGGGTATGAGTTTTGTGGCCCAACCAATGTCACAAATCTACACATAGCTGCATCATTCGGAATCCAGCATTTCGTTGAATACTACCTGAATCAAGGGGCAGAAATTGATGCAAAAGATTCTTTCGGTATGACAGCCCTACACAGGGCAGCCCAATACGGTCATGTAGAAGTTGTGCGACTACTGTTGGATTCCGGGGCCGATATTGGAATCCGAGACCAATGGGCATGTAGTGCATTAGTCCGGGCCGTCAGTAGGAATGAAGTATCCGTGTCGCGATTACTTCTACAGTACGGCTCAGACCCTGATTTCAAGAGCTACCACGAACTTTCAACAATCTCCATCGCGGCTACCCGAGGCCACGAAGAGAGTCTAGAGCTTCTGGCAGAATGCAGAACCGACGATGTTAGGAAGAATCAAGTCATGCGAGATACGCTATTTGGGGCCGCTTTTGATGGACGCGAGGGTATTGTGCGTCTTCTAGTGCGTGGCGGAAAAAATTGGAGCATCCCGAAAGAATACGTTGCAAGGGCGATGACCAAGGCAGCTTTTCAAGGTCACATCACGATAATGAGGGTCTTACTGGAGGCCGGTGTTGACGTCAGTTCTCCGTTATCACTTGCTGGAGAGGCCCTTCAGGAAGCGGCCATGTGGGGCCGTTCAGAAGCTACTCAACTACTCCTCTCAGCAGGTGCTAATCCGAACTTGAAGACGCATGATGGTGATTTGCCCCTCCATGCAGCAGCTCGGAAAGGCCATGTCAGCACGGTTACTCTGCTGCTAGAAAAGGGTGCAGAAGTAAACGCTCTTAACTCGAAAGGCGAGACAGCCCTGCTAGTTATAGCAGGTCCGAGATACGGATTCCTCGCAAGAACAACATCATTGCCTAAGGATTCTGTACTTGTCATGCAACAGCTCCTTGATAAAGGAGCCAATACCGCTGCAACAGAGCGTCAAGGCAATCGAACTTCACTCGAATGCGCAATTCTTCGAGGCTACGAAGATCTGGTACGGCTTTTACTCCAATATGAGAGCTTTCCAGCGACCCAAAAGAACCTAATGCTCTATATGACAAGACTCTATCACGAAATGGGAGGAATGTCAAAAAATGATGAGGTCGTCAATCGACTACTTTGTGAAACAGAAGGACAGAATTTGGGAGGTCTATCAACATTACTTCTGATTCCCATCCCTGCCGAAAGAGGGTACAAACGTGTGGTGCTCAAGTTCCTGCAATCGGGTGCCGCCATCGAGGCCAAGGATTTCCACGGAAATACGGCATTACAACTGTCTGCATGGGAAGGTCATATCGCAGTCGTCGAGCTTCTGCTACACCACGCAGCCGACATTAACTCCAGAGGCCCACTTGAAGGTTCAACGGATGCCACTCCGCTCATGATGGCTGCCAGCCGGGGAAGGACCGATGTAGTAAGGCTCTTGCTAGATCAAGGAGCAGACATCGACGCCGCATCGGCGAATAAAAACTTCGGTAGTACCGCCGTTGCTCAGGCTTTACATGGAGATTCCACAGCAACAGCAAAAGTGCTACTGGAGAGAGGAGCTGATGCAAATGCCAGATACAATCAACACTCTGAAGGCACACTTCTCCACGCTGTGGCCAGGAATGGTAATTGGAAGAGTCAGATACCGAACATCGACCTCCTTCTCGAAAAGGGAGCCGATCTGGAGGCAAAACAGAGTGACGGTCAGACGCCCCTTGCAGTGGGAGTCCAGTATGAAAAATTGAAAACAGTGCAACATCTTCTAGAGAGAGGAGCCGATCTGGAAGCGAAAGATAGGCATGGTCAAACGCCCCTGTCAGTGGCACTTCAAAAGGGTACACTAGAAATGGTGAATTTCCTTCTCGAGGAAGGGGCCGATCTGGAAGCGAAAGATAACCATGGTCAGACACCCCTGATAGTGGCCGTCCAGAAAAGATCACCGCAAACAGTGAACCTCCTTCTCGAGGAAGGAGGGAACCTGGAAGCGAGGGATAACAATGGTCATACACCTCTAGTGTTGGCAGTGCGAAGCGGCAGATCTGAGAACGTAGAACTCCTGCTGGAAAGAGGAGCAGATCCGGAACAACTTTCTCCCAGCGTAACAGCTGAGAATGACGATGTTAACAAATGGGATTTCAACAGAGCCGTCAGACTCGTCATGGAAGCTCAGATAAAGACTACATGATGACACCGCAGCTGGGGAGAATGTCAGTTTCGGAGTCGCGGAATGAGACGAGAATGGTGACTAGCTATACCATCTTCAACAGATGGTGTGAACAAAAGCCAGGCAATGCCAGCAGCGTTGACTTGCAATATATAGTATAAAACATACAGGGAGTACACTTTAGCGTCTGGGAAGAAGGCACTGCAAGAGAATGGGGCAGAACACATGAAGAGAGGGAACCCAAAAAGTGCAGTTGGGGCATGGTTGAGCATATGCACAACCTTTTCATTTCTTGGCATTTGGTTCTGTCGCGCAACGCGGCTGATAATTCTTGGAAATCAGCAAAGTCACAAAGACATTTTTCCTTGTTTAGTGCCAAAAAAATAATGTTTCCCATTCATGTGCAACCTTTCTTTTACGGAGAAAGCTCAAAATAGGCGTAAGAATCCTTGCGTATGCTTCTTTACAAGAGATATTCCTGCTTTATGCCTAGTCGGGAGAAACCCCTGTGTGAAAGGTCTGTGTAAAAGAAGGTCGGTGCGCATTCAGATGCGGTCCACCTCGAGGGGCGCCCTTGCGCGAAGGCGCCTAATCGTGGTCCCACCACTCGCTAAGAGCAGCGATTAGTGGGACCACGATTAAAATAACGAAGTCACAATTTCCACCGTCCTGACCCGGTAAGATCTGTTCGGGAACGCCTGGTTTGGCCTTCTGCCATAGACAATCGTACTAGGTACAAAGGTCGGCATTAAAAGTCCTGCAGAGCGATATCCCTGAAAGCAACTTTCCATTGGGGAACCCTAGAACCATCTTCTGGGAGTGCACGTTTTGAAGTTAAGGGTCCTCTTTTGGGGGAGCGGATTGTGCAAGTAACCTTCCGGGGGGGGGCAGGCATGTGTAGTAGATATACCCGCTCGGGTTCGCTCAGTGCTCCCTCCAACCCCTTTTGGAATTCATTCTGGACGATGCCCGCTTCTTGCGAACGTTAGCTCGTTTCCCAACATTGGCCCGTGCCTATGTTTGGTACGATTGTTCCCGTTACCTACGCTATCGCCCACGAGACTTCTCTTACCCTTGAAGTAGGTATTTACACCAGCGCCCAAAACCTACACACGGCAATGTCACCTTCACGCGTCCAAAAGACACAGTCCAGTTACCTCCCTCGAAAGCAAAATCGAAGCAGCTCGATAACCCGTTCCTCCAAGAGCTTGGCCACTGAAGGACTGGGTAAGGAAATAGAAACCAGGGAGTCGGCTACGCTATCAGTGGCAACCTACAGCAATTCCGTCACAAAGCTCCCACCGTTGTCCTCTACGGCGCCGTGGTCACTGCTTTGACGAAACCTTACACTCTGATCGAGAAGTGGCCTCAAGCAATGAGTGACCTTCTCAACAAGGGCAACCCTGATCCCGAAGCGCCATTTAACACTTGGCCGCGTCTAAGAGATCTGGACAGACGTAGACGAGCGCTCGCCGTGGGTTCGAGCATGCTGGCATTCATTGTATCAAGATGGGATTTTGATACAATTAGTTTTGTCACCTCTAGGAGGACTAGCGCTCAAGTCTGCTCATTACTCTGGCCATCTACGTGCCAGAGGAAGTGTCATGAAGCTGACGCTTCCTCGGCTCCTCCTCTGAAGTCCCCAAAGGCTCTGGGCTCGACCTCTTCTTTTGCTTCGCGATGTTCTGCAAAGCCTCTTGACGTACGAGTATAGACTCATGGATTGTGTGAACCACGGGAATCCTGCTTCGCCTCTCCATTTTAGAGTCAAAGTCCGTCCACTCTGTGATGTTGTGGATGGTTTCTCTTCCCAAGATACCTGTGACTGCACCTGACGGCGATGCGAGATGAATGCCAAGTTGCCTGAGACACATGTCCCCGCCTGTGGAATGTTAGCCGCCTTGGTAGGATAGCGGAGTTTGCACCTGCAGACGTTCACCTTTCAGAATGTCACCGAGCGGTGCGTTCCACACCAGTCCATCTATCCAATCATTGCTGTCCTGGTGGCTTTCCGTCATGACATTATTAAGCACGGCTCTCAGCGTCCATAGATTAGCTCCTCCTCAATCGTATCCATGCGACGGTAATCAGCGATATTCTCAACAACCAGTCGATACTCGTTGCGCATTTCAGGGCTGGCTATACCGAAGAGGAGAGCGATGACACGGGTGATGTGGTCGCAGTCGTTGCGCAGCAGCTGTTTCAAGAAACCCTCCGTAGTGGCAGCTGAAGGCCTGGAATCCGAGGTCTTTAGCAGCAGAGGTCAGGCCAACAACCGTAATGGACCACCCCTGAAGATCCCCCGTTCTCCTTTACGAATTCCGGATGCGCTTTGAGTATTCTCACGTGGTTGAAGTGACGCAGTGGATCTGGTAGATTTGGTGGATGGAATGACAAGAAGAATTTGATGTCGTCGTATATCTTCTCGACAACATCAGTACCATAAGCGTCCATCAGAGCCGTTGGATTGTGAAAATACAGTGTCTCTCCGTTAGGGTCAACAGCCCAATAAATTGCCGGAGGTGGAATACTTCTCAGGATACCGTTGGCTTCGCTGGCTTTCAGGTCGCGTTGCTTCTGATAGTGGTGGTCCGTGTGATCGGCCTGCTTGTTCATGATCCGTTCCTTCTTAAGTCTCTCCAGTGATTGGCCATTACGACTTTTCACACACAGAGGTGACTTGGTGATGGAACCTTAGAATCGATTGATTGGTACCACAAGTGTTGTTTCCTCACTTCAAAGCCTTGAAAACAGCAGTGCACATCACGTAGACCTTTAACAATGAAGGCTAGATCTCAACCATAGTATTGCTCAGCTTTAGCTCTCGGCCACTTCGTCTGCTTGTTCGGCCTCCGAAGAATGAGTGCTTTGTTGGTCTCTCAAAGATGGTACCTCACCTTTTTGCGAAAGGCGCAGATATTATTCGTATCCACACGGAAATGCCTGCCACCCGGTAATGAACGGTCTTAAATCCAATAAATCTAAACCTTTAATAATTGTTTCTTTCACAATAGTCTATAAAAAACGAAAAAAACAAAATATAAAGCGTAGAATAAGACTTTTAAGACTTGAAAAAAAAACTAAGATCGATGTTATATTGTTACGGGTGTATTATAGTGTAATAAAGTCTGCCTGAATCCTTTAAGCCTACGCGGCGTATCGGGGTGGGGGTTCGAGTTAGGTGTGCTCGGGGTGAGTCTTTGGGGGGTTATCCCCTAAAACTCACCCTCGGACTTATCGGATCTTAGACCGTGGATACGAAATAATGTTTTGTCCATCTTTTTCTGGTCCCAACTGCTCCGACTGCATCTCATGAGACTTTTTAGAAGTAAAGCCGACTTTGGCGTCCTTCACGTATTCAACGCTCCTTTCCTGATCCGAGGCGGCAAGGTGTGAACTATCGACCTTGGTATGAGCTGTGTTGAATGCCGTAGTGCAGCTCACTGAGCAATCTTGCAATGCCTTCATTTGTTCATCTTCTGCAACGGCAACGAGACTATTGTAAAGGATACTTTGTTGGACCTGGAACAGAGCACTACTCAGCGCATAGAGAAATTGAAATACGCCCCTCGCAATCGCCGGTGCGTCATGAACAATGTCATCAAACCACACGTTCGCTATTGTAGGGACTCGGCCTCCTGTCTTGTAGCGTGTGGCTGGCTGGTAAAGAGAGCATAAGAAAGCAGCAAGTCTTTCCAACCCACTTCGCTTAGGATCTATAACATAAGGGGTCAGAGTACTATGTCCTGGTTTCAGAGATAGCGGGCTCTTTAATGTGTGCGAAATATCTCCTTCCAACTACGGTCCAATCAGCGCTTCCGAACGGACGCGCCATCCTAATCATTCCTGGCACACGAACCCCTCTACCTACTCATCCAATTGCCAAGGTCCCATTCGCAAACGGACGGAACGGGTCCCGCACGCTCAAAAACACCATGTCAGCCTCCACAAACCCATACAATCCCCCGCACCCTATGATGCCCGCCAACATCATCCCGCAAGTGCTATGCCGCATCGACGGCGTAGGCATGATGGTCAGACGCGCGGTCTCTTCGGCCCATACGCGCGTCCGCGAGAATTGCACGTCGACGTGGTCGGGTAGTAGGCTCATCTCGTACATCATCTCTTCCTGCGCCGTCACGAGGAGCTGGATGGCATGGTGGAAGGGGATGGGGGAGCCGTAGTTGGTGTATTTGATTATGTAGGGCGTGGTGGGGATGCGGTAGAGGAAGGGTTCGGGGGGCAGGGAGAGCCTGGGGAGGTCAGTCGTTGCGCGATCATGAGATTGAGGCAGGGCTTTGGGCGCTTTTACTGGGAGGAAAAGCCGTTGGGTGTTGTGTTTGTTGGTAGGTTGATGGTGGGTACGTTTGGTGCACAATTCGTTGCCGTTTTGTGGTCGGAGGTGGTACTCGTATTGCTTAGGATCTGGCCATCTCCACAATAATTGATAGGAAGCGTCAGTGCTTGGACGACTGTGACCAGCAGTAGTGAGACGGTAAGTCGACATGGCTGACGTTGCTTCTGTACAAATGTGAACATGATTGAGCGGATTGTGTATGAGCTGATACGGGGAGTAAGAGGGGTAGTGTGGGGGCTATCACAAATTTTCCTAAAGAGCTGTTCCTTCACTGAGTTGCGACTTGCGCTAGGCGAGCGAACGAGCCACCGACAGTCAAAGGGTTGATCATAAGGTTGTCAGCGCGTAGACTGTCTTCGCAAACATCAGTACACCCATCCGAGCAGAGTTCGAGTGAGTGAGAAAGTCTTCGTTACTTAATGATCGGGCAACACGCCTCTTTCTCTCTCATTGAACATTATCCTGATACCCCAGAGGAAATCTTGCCACTGTTGATACTTTTCCCATAGCACTACTGTGAGCTTTCACAAAAATCTGGGAAAGTGTTTTTGGACTGCACTATTCCTACTGTCCCGACTCGTCAATCACAGTGGCCTTCTTTTCTTCCCTCCTTCTTTTAGGCTGCAAACATATGCCCAGTCTTTCCTCAGGTAACAGCTGGGCTCGGCGAGTTCGCATCAAGAGGCAATTTTGTTTGGCTTTCGTCACGGAAGGCGCGGGTTCTCATTTAATGATTTTTTCAGCATAGCATTCGTACCTAGCACTGGCTTCAACCGGTAACTACGCAATGTCTAAGCGATAACTGTTAAGTACAGTGGCTCTCCACCCTTCTCCTGTATTCGTTAATCAAAGGTACCAATTTCCAACTCTCGAAGAGACTTTTTTTGAAGAAAAGAACCATGGAGTCAACTGCAGATTTGAGCAACTACTTCTACTTCCATACCCCTGGAAGAACTAATCTGAAGCAAGGCATACGAGCGTATAATTACGGTATTGCAGACGTGCTCACCGATACTCAGCTAGTTGCACTGACTCTGAACGAGATCTGCGTTCTGCAAGGCAGAGGACAGGTCTTATGATACACCAGCTATTAATATAATGTGATCATCCTCTTCCGTGAACTTGGGTCAAGGAGAGAGAACCATGCTCACTGAGAGCCTAGGTCAATCGTCTACCCAACCTGATGTAGTGTGCGAAGGGGTGGACCCAAGGCGAAAGAGACTTGTACTGGGATAAGCGCCAAGTGGAGCGTCCTATTGTTAGTGACGGTACGGCAATAATTTTTCCCAGAACAACGTGACTACACTGACGGGGTCCGTTGAAGTGGAGGTCTCTCGAGCCACAGGCTCCTGGCAGCCAAACCCAACAGCAACCTCGATTACAGTCAAAGTCTTTCCTATACCGAGCGACAACGATACCGTACCATACCAGGAGTATACTGACGGCAACCTCAATCTCTGTTATCGAGATGATAAGGTGTATTTAGACTGGCTAGGATACTGGCAGCCTTACGCAGTGAAGACGGAGCAAAGCACCTTCGCGAGCACCACACAGACTTGGCAGCCTGGAATTCTTACCCCAACGCCTCCAGCGCCTTCTTATACTGTGCGTTGGCGAGACATACCTGCGGAATTACTGGCGCTTCGGCAGCTTCGAAACAACGAGGGGGTGGTTCACGCGCTGGGTCACGTCTCGAATGGTATGCCTCTTGGCCAGGCTTTACTGGGGTTAACTCAATTGGGGTCTAATGATTGTTGAAGTGTGGCACGGACTAGCGAAGGCATTAGCATTATTAATATACCCTGCTCGCTTGTTTTTTGCATCGCGCCGGTGGAGCAGGCTGCCTCATGGATGTCACACCACTTCCATGGGCACGGTATAACCCCTTGGTACCTTTGCTTACTGTAGCCCCAGCTGCTTAGCCAACAATCAAGTTGTTCGTATTGATGTTCTCAGGAATGGTCTGCGAAAATCCAAAACCGCTTGAATATGAAGAAATCAATTTCTAGAATGGAGAGACTCCTGTGCATGTAGGCCACGTTTCTCCAAATGTGTGGTCCTATCTCTGTAGCTTAGGTCGTCAATATATTGTCCAATTGTTTGGCTCGATGGGGACGGAAGCGACTGCTGGAGCGGCAAAAGAGCCACCAAGAACCGCGGCAAACATAGGACAATGATTCCAGGCAAAGATGAAGGACAGTTACAGCAATAACATAGTTGACGGTCAGCAAGGTACTCACCTTGGCTGCTCTCACCCGTTTGTGTACCTTAGCTACCACAGCTCCTCTCCAATTGGTCCCTGCTTCATCTTCCGATATCAATACATGTCAGACCGTACAAAGAAGCTGCAGAAGGGCATTCTTGAGTTTGGAAATGAGTGGGCACGATCAAACAGTCATTAGTGTATGATGATGTGGGAGAAGATAATAGCTGCGCTTTGAATTGGTACTTTAATATACTTGACCGAGCAGACAAGATTCACCGCCTAGGGCATCCAGGCTATCCTCGATCGGGCCATTCTAGTGAAGATCCTGTTCAGCTCCTATGTCATTCTTTGTTACTTTGCATTTCTTTTTTCGACTTCTCTTCTGACCATCAATAAACGTGAACCAAGAACATGCATGCAAGCTGAAAGAAGAAACCTGCAAAAATGAAGAATCGCTGGCGCTTTATCCCCTGGAAGTCCATTTGCCGAATCAGACTGCAGCGGGCGGTATTCCCCACGCCACTGGCCGAGTTGTCCCTTATGGGTCACTCCCGAGAGAAGCGTAAATCCTTCCCGTCCACCAACCATATGTGAGAAACAGCAAACATGTCTACCACACCTTTTAAAGGTTGCAGCACCAACACCTGGTCCGCTGGTTGTCAGAAGGCGGCGAAAAAATATACATGAGGACAAGCGCTGATGATCCGTCCTCGTGATGCGGTCGCTGCCGTGATGGACCACGGGCGGAGATCCTTCGATTTCTTTGGTCGGTATGAAACCAAAACCTGCACAATGATCTCCAGTATTGATGATCATTAATATTTCGGGAAGGCAGAAATGCCAGTGATGGCATCCTTTGATGCATTTGTCCAAGATACAAAGGTGTGAGTGTGTCTCATTTCCACCGCCGACATAGCAGGTGGGATGCGCGCTTCCTATCATATAAAAGCAGACGGCGTGCCGTAAGGGTTCCCACTCGACTCAATCGGTATACCTCTAATCTTCCTTCTCTTCGTCATGCTTTCGCCCTTCGCTTCCTATCTCTTGCCCTACATCCTTTGCCTTGCTCCAAGTCTAGCACAAAACCTCTGCAATGGCTACGCGGAACTCTGTGGCCGCCTATACTCGAACGTCACTACAATCGGAACCCACGACTCCGCTTTCGTTGGCGAGCTTCCTCAAGATAACCAAGGCGTCTCCGTAACAGCTCAACTTGATGCTGGTATTCGCTTCCTACAAGCCCAGTCACATAAAAACATCCTTGGGACGTTGGAGCTCTGTCATACTTCTTGCCTGGAAGAAGATGCCGGCAGCGTGGAATCATACCTCTCAACGGTCAAGACGTGGCTTGATGCTAACCCGAACGAGGTTTTGACAATCCTGCTCGTGAACGGCGACAATGTGCCGGTCAGCATGTTCGATGCCGCATACACATCTAGCGGGCTCAGATCTTATGCGTATACCCCTCCAACCTCACCTGTTGCGATTGATGCATGGCCCACCCTGCAAGAGTTAATATTGGCCGGAACGCGCCTCGTTGCTTTCCTCGATGCTGGTGCTAACGCCTCGGTTCCATATATCCTGGACGAGTTCACTTACTTCTTCGAGACGCCGTACGATACTACCGACCCAACGTTCCCCGAGTGCACAATCGATCGCCCAGCTGGCGCAACCGCGGATGGCCGCATGTACATCGTCAACCATTTCCTCGATCTGGACTTGGACGGTATCGATATACCTGATAACGCGGCGGATAATACCACCAATGCAGCGACAGGGGTGGGTAGCATTGGTGCGCAGGCAGATCTGTGCATTGGGCTGTATGGAAGAGCGCCCGTGGGGATACTGGTGGATTATTTCGATCAGGGCAATGTTTTTGCGGCGCAGAATACGTTGAATGGGGTCTGAAAGATTCGAGAACACAAAGGGAGAGAAGCAACCAATCGACGAATGCCGAAGTTGGTCGGAGATCAGCCTTCCACCTTTCCTTGCATCTTGATCTTCTTCCTCTTCTTTCCGTCTGAACAAGATACGTATTGCGGCGAGTCCTTTGTGATCTCTGGGGAGCCTGTGAGGTTGTTGGGCGTTCCAACCAAGGCTGTGCTTACCTTTTCATCAATGAGAGCCAAGCCGTCGCCGAGAGCCTTTTTGCATTGTCTGCATGTCGAACATTCGCACATACGCTCTCCATCTAGAATGTAGTCAATTTCGACATGTCCAAACAAGTGGTTTGATTTCTAGACTGCTTGTTGCGATGGTTTCGCAGTTCCCCGAGCATCTCTAGATTGCTTCTGCACATAGCTCCTCTCTTACCCTCAATACCGTTCTCTTGGTGCATTTTCAGAGACCCCTCACGTTAGCGTGGCCTATTACCTTTCATTGCGGGTAGGGGAAGGCCACAAGTCGCGACAAACCAGACAAGAGCGGTAGCAAGCCCGACGCAAAAGAAGGCAACATAAATGACTATCGTGGTCGCGCTGGGCGATCCGGACGATGGTTCCATGGATCTACGATGGACCAAGGAATTAGTGCTCCTGAAGCCCATAGTACACAGGGTTAGCTTACTCGCAGATGCACCCGGTCTTGTGGAGGTCATGGTCGCCAAGCGGGTGGAAATCTGCAAGTGGACCGATAAGCCTTTGCCGGCTCTAAGTCGACTGTATTGCCTGATGTACTCTTCTGATACGAACAGCCATCTAAGTATCGAATGCTACTTTCACCGAACGAAACGGGAAATTCTGAGCACACTGAAAGGGCTGCGCAGCAGTACCGCTCGCACTTAAATACAACGCCCAAAGCGCCAGCTCCGCGAAATTTTCCGCATTCAATGCCTCCTGACCTGACCCATTCTCTACCAATTCATGACTCTGCGTAACCCCGGTGCTGATCGGCAATAATTTCCGAGCTGTCCAATTTCCCAACCGTCTGTAACGTCTTGAGTTGCACAAACGTCCGCAAGAACGCCCACCCCAGGGTCGCTTGGCCAGGCGTCCCGGTGCACGAGGGCGCGTCGCGGGGGAGGGTGCTGTTGAGGAGGGCGGGACAGGCGTAGATTTGCGCGGCGACGGGATTCGCGCCGATGTAGCCCCATGTTGTGGTTTCGGAGCTTTTGTCGTCGCCTTGGGATAGCGAGTTGCAGGTGGCGTCGGTGTCGTTGGCGCAAAAGAGTTGGACTTGGTCGTGGCTGGGGAAGGCGTCTGTGGGTAGGTCTTGCAGAGGTCGGGTCGCGAAGAGGCCGGCGTTGAAAACGGCACTCGCGGAGGAGAAGTCGCTGGGTTCGAAGAAGTGGGAGGAGAGACTGTTGGATGGGGGCTCGAGAGTGTAGATGGCGCTGTTGCAAGGGGAACGCATGTCAATGATGGCGTTGAGGACTTGAGTTGTTTGGTCTGGACTGCATCCTGAGTCGGTGGCGAGAATGAGGCCGTAGTAGGTGGTGGAGCGGGAGGAGAGAGGGGATGTTGTGGCGAGCTATAAAAATGCAAATGCGAGCAAAGAGAGCGATAGGCAGAGATGGAAAGTAGGCATAGCTAAGGCTTTGAAAGAAGGATGCAATGAAAACTTCATTCGCTATGGTATGACCATGTTCAGGGGGATGTACCACTGCGAACAGTTACAATTTCCCTTTTGCAGCAGACAAACTGCTCTCATACTTATGGATCTTTGCAAAATCATTCAAAACGGGGCGATTTGGCCTGATACAGGTGTTCAAACTGCAAGTAAACGTTGAGTGGTCAGGGGGGTGGAAAAATGCCCGAAACGAGGCTGTGGCGCTTCTTCCGCCACGCACAGGTTTGAATTGAGCCGCAAACCCATGCAAACACTCCGAGCCGCCGTTTCGACATCATGAGACAAAAAATGGGGCTTGCATAATTGCACTTTTTGTTTCGTGAATATAGAATTGGAAAAGTGGGAAAGAGACAGAAGCTTGATGCGCAGAGAGCATCGGCTGGCAAGGACTGGGCCTAGGTGCCGGCTGCGAAATACAACAGTGAAAAGGTGTTCCAAAGGGTCACAACGGAGAGTATAGAAAGCGGTATGGCTTAGCCCATACAAGTGGGCAAGCACACACATGCCCGGGAAGGGTATTGTAGTGGACGTGCGCAGAGACGAGACAATCTGCAGAGCCAGTGCTGAAACCTTGAGGAAGCTTGTAATCGGGAGCCTTCTTTCCGGTAAAACCTTGAGAATGAGGAACCGTGGTTGCAGCATGCCAGTATCAAAGCGCGTGCGGCTGCACCTGAAGGGCTCGATATTGTGGGCTCGATATTGTTAGACAGAAGAGGAGGGAGGAAAATTGTGTTACTGATGACGCAGGATAGCGAGACCTCAATTCGGCTGAACGTCGGCTTTCAATCGCGCTAGAGACTGAACCAAGGATGTTAGCGTGTTTGAGCGCGTTCACCATCTTTCAACACCGATTCATACTCGACGGTCACCACTAACTAAGTAAAGTCTTGCCATGTCTTTCTCTAACCTCTCACGCGAACTTCGGGGCCTCATCTACCATGCACTCTTATGTCCACCGGACGGCGTCCGCCTACACCTCAAATCCGAGGCTCTGATGAGAAAGAATGAAGCGACCAAGACATTCTACGAGACAGGCGAGAGTGAAGAGGAAGAAGAGGACGAAAATGAAGAAGTGGATGATGGCAAGGACGTCAAGATATGTGGGAACAGCAATTCCTCCGCCTCGGCGGTCACACCGGTCCCAACTGCCATCTTCTACGGCAGCCGCCAGATCGGACAAGAGGCGACCGAGGTCTTCTACAGCTTCAATCGCTTCACATTTGACACTGATGCTCAGACTGCACTCAAGTTTCTACACTGTCTCCGCCCCAGCTTCCGACGACGAATCAAAAACATTGGTTTCACCCGTCGGTCAACATGCGCCGACGATGGTGACTGCACACAATTCTGGAACCCTCTATCCAATTCCATTGCTCGCCACATGTCTCTCCACTCTGTGACTGTCCAAGTGCCCCGGGATCCTACCCACGGAATAGACCATACAAAGGAGGTCAGACAGCCGCCGAATTCGGAATGGTATTGGTGGCCAGCCGCTCGTGGTTTGACAGGATTGCTCATGGCTGGAAATATACAGGAGCTCAGGATTGGATATTCTGCAACATTGAAGATCCATGCCCCAGAAGATGAGGTTCGATACGAGAAGGCTGGCCAGTCCCCGTATGAGAACCCTCTGGAGGATTTGGGCTCTATCTCTTACTTAAGGTATCCGCGGGTAGCAGAAGAGCTGGACCGAGAATATTCGGAGTACAAGGACCTTAGGAGCGCTCTCAAAGAAGGGCGACCGCATAAGTTTGATTCCCTCGGTGCCTTGTACGCTTCTCAAGAGATGAGGCGTGAGAGATGCGAATTTGCCGTTGCCCGGGAGGATGACCCAGTCGGCGATGTCGGCACTGTTCTTGTGCTCACTCGGCCTACAGCACACCAAGGACACGCACCTGATTGACAATTCGACACCAAAAATAGCAACGATAATGAGGGGCTGGATGATTGCCAATGATTCTCATCAATCATTGTCACGCAATCTGAAGCCCGATCCGGTCAGGATTGCCATACTGTAACAAGACGGAAAGTAGTAATTCAATGGCGCAAAACAAATGACGTGGTGTCGAGGGGCGCAGTAGAAAACTGGAATGCAATCGACTGCCCGGCTGAGCACTAAAGCACATCTCTCCCTTTTCTGCCACATAACACCAGGGTATCTTGCCATGGCCTTGATTTTAGTCTATTTGTCTCATTTTATTACCAATTCGCATAGAACATACACACGGAAAGGCAGCTCGCCAGTCGTCTCTGCCGCTGAAACCTCACTCATATTGCCGAAAACCCAGATTTTTGTGAACGAGACCTTTTGATGCTAAGAGTCCCGGAGTACCATACATGACCACCATTTCAACGAAAATTCAGGTCCAGCATCACTGCAGCCAAAGTCCAACTCAAATGATCACCCGAACCTCTTCCCAAAGCCTTCTCCACTGTTTCGCTTCTTCCCATCCGTGGCGCCCATGATGAAGTCTATCGCCTGTCCAGCCAAGTCACCTCGAGAGGAAGTTGACGACTCTCCTTGAGGCCGCTCGCTGCGTCGCGAGGCATATGGAGGAGGAGTGACCGACTGCTCGTTGATTGTCCCTTGGTCTTGGTACCCGCGCTGCGACGAAAAGTCTGCATCATTGCTTTTGTCGCCTTGGGAAGCGCGTGGTATTGGATAATAGGCATCGTGTTCGGCTGAGTACCAGTACCCAGGCGGCGCATTTCCTCTAGATCCGCTGCCTTCGACCCCACGGGCTTGGGCGGATGTTTGGTATTGCGGGGGAGTGTGACTTCGTTCTGGATTGTGGGGCTGTTCGCGATACTGAGGGTTGCTGTGATGCGTCTCGGCTGTTCTGGAGAGAGGGGGGATTAGAAGACGTTTGTGGAAGAGTTGAATGCGGGGGAGTCGCTCACTTGGCAATTTTGTTGACTGCATAGATGCCTCCACCTGTCATCATAGCTGTTTTGATGAGACCCATGGCGGAAAGGTGGTGCTGGTCGAGTTTTCGGATAAGAAAAAGAAGGGAATAGTTGGAATATTTAGGTCAGGAAATTTTTGATCTGGAGGATTTGGGCTTGGATGTCTTGTATCGGGATGAGTATGTGTTGCTTTTTGTAATGTGATTGTTTGAGATTATTTGCAGAGGAGGCAAGCAGTCTTTATACCAAACGAGCACTGACGACCTCGGAGCATCGCGAGCTGCTAGCCTTTGGTTTTCCGAGACTGCGAAACACTAGCCTCGTTCGATTCCGACTTCGAGGTCCGACTTTACGAGACGCTAGCCTAATTCGGTACTGGTCTCACAATTCCGAGGCCGTCGGAAAGCAAACCGAGGACTTGCCGAGAAGGATCCGATTATTGCTTCCGCAGGATTCCACTAGTCGATAAGCCACACATAAGGTACGCAGCATCTTGAATGCGTCAATCATTTGCTGGATCAGGTCTTGAGATGATCCCGGCTGATACATAGCGTGCACAGCCATGGGAATCAAGGCGAGAGAGGTATAGTACCTTGATCCGAACAGCTGCGCTGAAAAGAAGGATCTCTTCGGTCCATCTTCGCACCTTGTGACGTTGGTGTCGAGAGTGGCGGACGCGCATGATAAAGAAGAGGCATTCTCATGACGCGTTCTTACACGTCCTGTCTTTTCGTAAGACTTTATCAAATCACTTCGATTTACTCCCAAGTGAGGTTCTCGCGAAAGCCAGGACAATTGCAAGTAAAAGATGACCGGCTGGATATTCAAATGACTCGTTGGACAATCATATTTCGTTTCGAAGGACGCGCTGGGCTCTCTCTCATCCTGCACCTTTAGGGTCCAATAGAATGGACAGAGCTAGAACCACTCCTCCAAACATGGAAATTTGAATGGAGTACCGTCACACATTACTATATCTATCCCTCTCGTCTAGTGCCTTTATACGTCACCGTGGAACCTAGAGGTACTCGAGGGTTTCTCGGCAATAATGTAGTAGCGCGGCTCGGGATCGCAATCTGCAGCTGCTGGTGGGGTGAACAGATCCTCCTCAGTGTGGACGATCTCGAATCCTGCCTTCTCCAACAGCACCTTCCACCCCGCTTTCGTCAGCAGCGTAATCAGAATCTTTTTGCTCATAAATCTCCATTCAACCTTGTTCGCACACTGCCCATCAGCATCGTAATTCCCCGCTTTCACCTGCTGGCAATCCTCAGCACCGAAAGTGTTGATCAGCAACAGTCCGCCCGGCTTCAGCCACGAAAACCACGCGTGTGACATCGTAGCGATCTCTTGCCGGCTGAGCTCGAAGATCGATAGACTGGCCACCGCACCGTCGTAGCTGACCGTGGGCGCCCACTCGAGCATGTTGGCCACTTCGAAGGTCCCGCTCGGGACGGCCTTGCGGCTCAGTGACACCATGCCGGGTGACATGTCGATACCGTGGACGCGGCGTCCGCTCTCGGCGATGGCTGCGGCGACGGGCTTGCCGGTGCCGGGGCCGCAGTCGAGAATGTGGCCGGAGGCGGGGAGCATCTTGAGGTATCTCTGGATGACCTTGTGAAGACCGATGTCGTGGCCAAAGGCTGCCTCGTACTTCAGGCCCAGATCGGTCCAGAATTGTTCGTCGGAGTTTGTGGGCTCGGATGGCTGGGTGTTCTCCATCTTCAACTTTGGAACTTGATCCTCTCGTCTCAGGGATGTTGTGCTTTACGCTCTGCGGAAGGACAGCGGAGACCCGGAAGCGAGGATGGTACTTTAAGCGAGACGACTGCAGCGCCGCAATCGTTAAACCTGACGAGAGAGCTTTGAGAGATACTGTAAGGCTCAAGTTAGGGGTCCAGTGCGCTTGAAAAACAGGCGGGCTGAGCGGAGGAAGGAGGAGGTGGGGGAGTTTCAATTGGGGCTAGCCATGCAGAGCGCCTACATAGGAAGGTACATCCAAGGTGTGTGTGTGTGTGTGTAATTCCTACATCGGAGGGGCGCCCCTCTAGCCATATAGGTAAGAGTGAGATTATTTTTCCCTACTCGACCTTTCGACTATATTCGATTTTTATATATAATATACTATCTAGAGTAATTTATATATCTAATATATATAAAGATATAGAGAAAAGAGAAGAGAAGAAATAGTATTAATTAAAGAAATTATCTTTAAACTATATCTCTCTAATTCTATTTTATCTTACTTTTATCGAAATTTCTTATTTATATTATTTATTTTATTATCTTTTATTTAATATTAGTTAGTTAATTAGCTTTTATATAATTACTCGAAAGATAATATTTTAAATATTTTTCTTAAAGTAATTATTTCTATATTTTATAGCTATTATAATATTAAATAGCGATGTCTATAAAATATATTCTCTTTTAAAGAATTATTATTATATTATAATTATATTTTAGCTATTATAATCGCTAAATTAATTATCTATATCTTTTATATTTTTAGATCTTATATCTAAATAAAGTTATTATATTATTTTTTTATTTATAATATTTAATCTAATACTTAAATAATTTCTATCTTATAAATAAATTTCTAAAAATTTATTCTAAAAATATCTTCTATATTAACTTCTTTAAATATATTATTATTATATTATATAGTAAATATTAAATATATTCTTTTCTATATATCGATAATTATTATCTATAATATCGTCTTAAAATAATAAATTATATATTCGCTTAAAAATAAATTAACTAGTTTCGCTAGAGAGTCTTTTATAAGAGAGTCTACGCTTATATCTATTATAAGAATATATTATTTCTTTAAATTCTTATTTTATATAAAAACTATAGCTTTAAAGCGAAGATATTTAAATTTAGTTATTTATTATAAATTATCTAACTTCTCTAATAGAGTAATATAATTACTATTATACTTCTTTAAAAGAGTATTTTATAAGTTTTTAATAATATTATAATTAATTTTAATCTTATTTTTTTAATTATATTTAAAATTATAAATAATTATTTTTAAATATAATAACGCTAATATATTCTATATTATATATAAAATATAATATTTTTATATCTCTCTAAATATTTTAATTATAATAATTATTATTAAGAGTAAAAAAATATTATAAGATATTATAGATAAGATTAAGAATAATAAGATTTAACTTAATTAATTAGAGATTATATTTAAGATTTATTAATATAAATAAAGATTTAAAAATTAAAAGTTAAATATAATTTATATTAAAAAGAAGATAAAAACTTTAAGACTATATATAATCTCTTATTATAAAATATAGCTATTAATTATTTTATTAATAAGATAATTATTTTTCTAGTAATCGTCGATAGTAAGAGTTCTATATATATAATTTTATTTATTAATTTTATAAAGAAATATATTATAAGCTATTTATCTATTAGAAAAGAGGCTTAAGGATTTTAAGTGAGAGAACTCTAAATTACTTAACTTATATACGCTTAATATACGCTTAGCGATATCTTAACGAAGTTTTAGCGAATAAGCTTAAGTAAGCGATTTCTCTCGAGTTTTCTTTACTTTTTTAAAAATTAGTTTTACTATTAAATCGATATATAAATATATCTATTTTTCTAATTTCACATTATTATATAACTCTAAGACTCTTTAAATCTAATAATTCTAATTCTTCTACTCTTCTAAAGAATAGCAATTTAAAATTAGTATAATAATTATTATTAGAGTATAGTTTTAATATTTATAAAATAGATCGTTATCGACTAGTATAATATCGAATTAAAATATTATTATAATATAATTAGATATATTAGAGCGTATTATAAACTCGAATAAAGAGATCTTTTCGCTAGTTATAGATAATAATTTAATAAAGAAATCGAGTAATAATAATAATAACGATACTATTATTAATAGTTAAGAGAGTATCTTTAGTAATAAATAAGATATTAACGAATAGATTAACGAATTTACTTTTACTCTAAACGATCGAGTAGAATATACTACTTATTATCGAGATATATTTATATAAAAATATCGCTTTTAATCTCTAGAAGCGGAGATTATTTTACTTAAATAAGATAAAATATTTATAAATTATAATCGTAATAATAATAATAATATATCGAGATTATTAGCGACTTTAGAAATAAAGAGAATTATAAATAATACTAGTCTCGAATATAATAATATTATTTAATAGCTTCGAAAAACGATTTAATTAGAGAAATTATTAATCTATTATAAAAAGAGTATTTAAAAATATTAAGCTCTAGTATAAGAGATAAATAAAGCGTTTTATCTAATTTTAGAAAACTTTCTTATTAAAAAGAATAAGATTCTTTAAATTTATTAATCTTTTAATAATAATTAAAAAGAATTATAGACTAATAAGAAGGATAGATTTTCGAATTATAATTATATATAATAGAAGTTTATTAACTTTCTATTAAATTAAATTAAAGACTTAATAAATTATAAGCTTAATATCGCTTAAGCGTATATAAATATTAATTAAAAATAAAATTAAACTATATATTAATTTGATAATTATCTTCGATTACTAAAAGTCTAAATAAATCTCTATATTAAGAATTAATAAGTATATTACTTATTTATAAAGCTTTATATAAATCTTCGTTATTAGTTAGTTAATATTTAAATAATATTAATTAAGTAAGATAAGCTTTTAATACTTATAATATACTTAGAGAATAATAATAAAAAATAAAGATCTTCTAGAGAATATAAAGTAAGTAGTATTTCTAATCTATAAGGGGGTTAATAGTAAAGAAATTAAAATTTTTAATATAAGAAATCGCAATTATCGCGAAGATAAAACGACTTCGATTTAAGAGATAAACGATCTCGAGATTATAAGTCTAAGAATAAATTTAAGAATAATAAATCTTATTTAGATAGTATAAAATGCTATAATTATAAAGAAAAAGAATATTACGCTACTACTTATATTAAATTAAAAAAGCTAAAAACGAAAAATCTTAATAATATATCGATTAGCTCTATCGATAATTATAAACTTTACGTAGTTAACTCGATAGGAAAAAAGAAATTCTTATCGAAGACTTTATAATAATAAGAGTAAAAATAGAAGTAGTATTCGTTTTATCGTTAATCTATAAAGATAAAGTACTTTTAAATAATTAAGACGAGTTATAAACTTCTATTAAAATTTATTTTAATAATAGTATAGAGGTAAATATAATAAATTAGCGTTTTGCGATTAAGTAGAATCTAATTAAAATTAATAATCTCTTATTAAAACCTATATAAATAAATAGAAAATTAACTTATTACTATAGTATTTACTTAATAATCTATTATCTATAAGATAGTTAAAAGCGTATTAAGCGCTATAAATATATTTTCTACGCTATTAATAAGAAAGATTTCTTAATAGTTTTAAATCTTTCGATCTTAATTAATAAGCGAATTAAGATAAATATAAAAGATCGAATCTAGCGTTTTAACGTTGAAAAGTAATTACTCGAGATTCTAGCGCTATAATAATTCGCGGATATCTTAAAAGAATATAAGATTATCTATATATTAGTTATAGTTGAAATAATAATTATAGATAGAAAATATAAAACTAATAAGATTAAAATATAGAGTATTTATATAGATAGCGTAGAGATTATCTCTAAACTTTCTAATAAGTTAAAAGAATATAAAGATATATTCTTATTAAAAGAAGTAAGTTAACTATTATTATATAAGAATTACGATTATATTATCGAAATTATAGCGAAGCTATTATTTAATTTACTATATAACTTATTTAATATAGAGTTAATAGCGCTAAGAATTTATCTTAATAAAGCCCTAGCGAAGAGTTAAATTAGATATTTTATAAGTTTAATAGAAGCTTTAATTCTATTTATTCTAAAAAAGAATAAAGATTTATATTTATATATTAATTATTATAAACTAAATAAGATAATTATTAAAAATTAATATTTATTACTCTTAATTAGCGAGACGCTTAATTATCTAAATAATTTTAAGCGATATATTAAATTTAATTTAAAGGATACTTATTATCGTATATGAATTTGTAAGGACGATAAGTAAAAGATAGCGTTTTGTATATATTATAGGTACTTTAAGTATCTAATAATATTATTTAACTTAATTAACGCTCTAACTATCTTTTAAGCTTATATTAATAAGACTTTAATTAAATTAGTTAACTAGTTTTACGTAATATATTTAAATAATATTTTTATATATTCTAAAACGAAGAAGAAGTATTTAGACTACGTAAAGTAAGTACTTAATTAATTTAAATAATATAGCCTTTATATAAGTCTAAAAAAATATAAGTTTTTCGTTATTAAAGTGAAATTTCTCGGCTTTATAATATCTATTATTAATATTATTATAGATAAATATAGAATAACTATAATTTAAGAGTAGCTGAAATTAAAAGACTACTATAACATATAAGTCTTTTTAGAGTTTATAAATTTCTATTATAGATTTATTTACTACTATTTCTAAATTATAGATCTTTTAATAGAACTTTTTAAGAGAAGCGAAAAAGATATTAAGTTAGAATTATTTCTATAGCTTAATATTATAGAGTATATATTTAAGAAGCTAAAGAGCGCCTTTATAATTATATCTCTTTTTAAATATTTTAATTTTTAGCTTTTAATTCAAATCGAAATTAATA